ATGGGTTGGACGCTGTACCAGGTCGCCTTTGTCTCGGTGCTCATCCGCACGACCTCCTTCGCCACGGAGGCGTGGCCCAAGAACCCGGGCCCCGCGCTGGTGACGGTCGTGGGCACGAAGAACCTGATCAGCTTCGGGGTCAGTTACGGGTTGAATCCCATGGTCGCCAAGTATAGTTACCCGGCGGCGATGGGGATTCTGGCCGGTGTGGTCGGGGGTGTCTTGCTGCTTGGCGTGCCGGTATACTTCTATAACCCTAAGGTTTGTCCTGCCCTTTCCTTTCCTCGATTGTGGCTTCGTGGGATTGGGCTAATATGCAATGAATAGTGGCGAAAACGCATGAGTGAGAAGGAGAAGTGAATTAGGTCGGGTCGTTGGTAGTCGTGCGGTCATGGTGATTGTCTTGTGGTGTTCTAATGAGATATGCTTTACAATTGAGGTCTGACATGATATATCGTGGTGACTGTAGGCGGTCACCAGTAGTCATACAATGTATTTCTGAAGAGTAGATTGTGATCATATGAGCGGATCTAACAGTCCATGGATAGTACGGGACAAGACAGTTGCAATCTTCCTCTCGGGGGTCGCCGATCAGCTCCAGGGATCCCAGCCCCCGCACGGAGCCAACTTCGGGGCTGACCGAGACTTAGCCCGGAAGGCCGAAGTGACCCACTGTGGCCGACGCCCTCGGGCGAGATCGGTCGAGATTGGATCTGGGGTTGAAACACGCAGTCTGGCATCCCCCACATTCCCGAGATGCTCAGCCCTGCGTTTTCTCTCACTACTCCGGACTTTACATCCTGCTCGTCATTTGGCCACAGGAGAGTGCTAAAACCTCGCCTCGATCTCATATGCTACAATAACCAGGGATTCCTTCATGAATGTGCCTGTGGAGCTGATCATGGGTGGCATTCGATGAGAATTAACTTACGACTTGAACTACTGATCCCGCTAGTGCGGCTTCGCAGCTGTGCGTCCCTGCCTTGTTAAACCGACAACGGTTGTGGTATGATTGAAACCAGCCTCTACGTTGCTAACATCGCATGGTAGAGATGGAAGACTCGCATTCCCTCTTCTTAGCCACTATGAAAATCACTGTTGCACGATATACCAACACAAGCCTGAACATGCAGCGATGAACGCACTCTCGCCGTGTAGTTCCCGATGTGTCTCCCAGAAAACCTCAATGCAAAACTCCCGCCCCGGAACCAGCCCCAATCTTGGCCAACCCGTCCAGAATATCCTTCCGACCATTCCGCGGATCGCTGTGACTGTACATCGCTAGCGCCTGCTAGAAAAGCTCTGGACATTCACGGGAGCTTCGTGGGCATCCTCCATGATCAGGTCATAGACTGGCACGTGATGGTGCTCGATGGTGCCGTCATCCTTCATGCGAGATGCTTGCTCGACGGAGAGAAATGATGCTTGAATTTATCGCTCATCGGCGCCCTTTGCTTACATCTTCGAGCGTAGGAAGAATGTCATCCTAGAGATGACAACTCTCATCGCAACCCATCCCGGACTGTTGCATTCGGACATCAGCCCGGTCTAGGACTAGCTGCATCTGCATTTGACTTGAAGCTATTGTGGGCCTCTGCATGAACCGACATATCCGCCAACCATACACCAGGGTGCTGCACAGGAAGCCTCTCGATACCTGAAGTGAGCAATCGTCTCCGAGGCATTTTCTGCAACATCCCACTTAGATATCTTAAGACCCTGCGCTAGTTCCAGGGACCCTGAGACTATTGAGCTAGAGACTCGTATTCATAACACCCAAGCAAGCAGGGCTGAAGCCTGACAAACCCCTCGGACGCTAGTCATGTGACCATTCCTCAAATGGGGGAGCGGCTGGGGAGCGCCAGCCCTGATTAGGGTTGACTATGCTCGACTCAGTAAGCATGTCTCGGAGAGTGAGCGTCGACAGTCGAAGACTGCTGTCTGGAGCACTCAGCTGGCGATTGTCATGGCCGGAATTCCGATTAGTGATCGTTGCGGGCCATGTTTCACTGCACGGGCCGAGCGACGGCCCATAGCAGAAGACATCTTGACCAAAGCTTGGTGCGGCGGTGACCGGGGTGTTTTCCATGGCATCCATGGCAAATATGCACGAAAAAAGTGTCAAACCTGGCGAATGAGACGCAGGTGATGGGGCCTGCAGTATCTTGGTTAGTGCTTCGATGATTCCTGCTCGTATAAGCATCCTTTGACTTTGACGAGGGCAGCTACAGCCTACACATCACCCACATCCCTCTTCGCGCGAGCATGCAGACGTAAGAGAATTAGATTTATAACGATTGAGTAAACCAGAATGCCACCCTTCCCAGACCCTCAACTCCAACCCAACCCAAAATGCTCAGTCGTAGGCCACGATCACCTGCCGGCTGACGACAATGTCGGCTTCGCCGGGACTCTGCCCGCCCTCCAGGATCTGTCGCTCGCTGTCCCCGTCGCTGAAGCTGCGACGGCCGTGCTCGGCGACCGTGCTCGTGGTGACGTGGTTGGGGTTCTTGCCGTGCTCGGCCAGCTCGTAGGTGCGCGAGAACACGCCGCCGCCCGTGTGGTGCGAGCTGTGGCCGTAGCCCGGGGACCGGTTGTAGTTCTTGTAGTCGGAGGTCTTGCGATCGCGCAGGATGCGGAACAGGGGGCGGAGGGTGGCGACGTTGCCGACGATCATCCCCAGCGCGTTCTCCGCGAACCCCCAGATCACCACGTTGGCCACGCCGAAGAGGTAGTCCGATTGCGAGGTGAGCGCGACGGTGTACTTGAGACGGACGCAGGCGGATAGCGAGGCACTGTACGGAAAATGGGGTTAGATGGTTGTCTGTGCGGTGCGGTGAAGGACAGTGGGCGGTGTACGTACAAGATCCCCAGACCCATCAAGCCAACGATCGAGATCTTGGTGTTGCGGTTGATCTGGACATTCCAGAGGAGGGGCACAGGCAGTAAAGCCGTCACCCAGTCGGTCAGGATGTTCACGGCCGTGCAGGCGTAGTACACGTCGGCGAGGACGTAGGACGGTTGGCAGTGACCTCCGTTCTTCAGGGCTTCGTCATTCCAGGCAGCACTGGGCGCAGTCAGTCTCGTTGTCCACTCGATTCAACAGTCAGAGGACGCGGGCACATACTCAACAGGGATGCAGTTGATAAGAATGAAGATCAACGCGATGATGTTCATGGTCACGAAAGTTGCAATAACCACGTACTGAATGTAGAGATAAGCCTTGCGCCCCTCCGCGACTCGAATCAACATCCAGCTGATACTCAGTTTGATCGGGATAATGGCAGCGCAGTAGCCGACCTCGAAGATGAGGAAGAACTGGAGACTTCGTTAGCATCCAGCTGCTTGACGTGCCCCTATGGGCCCGGTGAAGGCTCCATACCTTCTTTCCATCCGCTGAATACTGCACATTTTCCGGCTCCGCCAACCGCCATTGATGAATTCCAATCCCGTTGAAGGCACCTCCTACACAGCCGGCTACCAGCACAGCGAACGGCACCTTAAATTCCAACCGATCAGCTCAGGTTCGAGTCCCAGTGGGAGGGCGACCTACCAAGGCGACGGACATGATCCAGTCTTCCATCCCCCATGACTTCCGGGTCAACCGGCAGTATACTCGGGCCCCATAAGTCAGCAGTGCCAGGGTCGTCAACATAATGACACTGCCGGCCACCGACGGGGCCGCATCGGCGTAGATGGCCATGACGTTGAAGTCGTCGCAAAAAAGAGTCGAAGGTCAGCCCTGTGGTGGTGCTGTCAAGGACGCATTTGGGGAGATGCAAAGCTCAAATTCCAGTCAACATGGGGGGTGGTGGGCAGAGGGGGGGAGGGGAAATGTGGACATGGGTGGGGGTGATAGCAAGGATATAATAAGTTGATTAACTCAATCAGAAGGGTCCTTGCAGCGGGAAGCCTCTTTGATTGCAGGCCTACAACCCTAACAAAAGGCGAGGTTAGACTGCCCACATCATTGCCCCTTTGAGGCAGTCGGACGGGCCACGAGACGAGGGGTGGGTTCGTGAGTTGTGACAGTCGGCTTGTCCTCCGCCCCTCTATCTCCACGGAAGGTCGGAATACGAGTTTGTCTCCCTTAAAACCCCAAGAGATCGCCAGTTTAGGCTGTCAACGCGAGCAGACTTTCGTCAACAGAGTCGTAGTCATCCACTTTTGCTCTCCACCGCAACCACTGTCAGGGAGAAAGAAGTGGCGCCTCTGATTTGCAGTTTTCTGCGGACGGAACCCGTCCGCGACAAATCAGGACGAGTCATGTCACCCTCTCCCCCCCCCCCCGCCCCCCACCCTAACCCTAGAGAACATCATCATTGCCCGCCAGTCTAGAACTTTCACCACTGTTCGGTAAATCCTAAATCCCTATTTGGCAGTTCAATGGCACTTCTGGACGGAGGGGAAACTCTTTCTCAATAATCATTGTTTGCCAAGTTCTTTCTCTCCAAGCGAGATGACAATCCGCATTGTACTAGTAGTTCGAGTACCAGCAAAACCCTTCCCCAAGCATGCCCAGCTTCGTGTCTACAGTTAGTGTCAATAACCCCCAAGGGGGATTTCCTTAAGTCGCATGCATGCATGCATGCATGCATGGGTTCTGGAAAGAGAGAACCAGACTCCCGGGTCCCTTAGGACCGGGGAACATCGACCAAAATGGAAAATAAACATGCCTGGGAGTCCCCACCTTTGGGGGCGACGTCCATGCCGTGCTGGGACAAGTCAACCCATTCGAAACACCACCACCCGGCTTTCCTCGGCCTGTCATGACTCGCTTGTCAGGCATTTCTTTCCACCTTCTCAATGTTAATCCGGTTTAAGCTAGCACGGTTACAGTTGTGTGGTGGGCTAGGCCGCCCACCTCCACCGCGTGCGACCGAGCGCGCCAACTAAGTTACCAGTTGCCAGCCCCCCATCGGGCGCGCCCGCCTGCGAACCCTCACACAACGGAAGTTCGCCGCGAAGAGGTTATCGTGAATCAAATAGATTAAAATCTGGTTCGTGCCATTAGCTAGCTGCTACTTGCTAACTATGTACTACATGTGTAGCTGCAGGTGTTTCCGGTGCTTCGAAACATTACTCCGTCGAAATTCGCTGTTCTAAGAATATTACACAGTGACCCCCCCTCCCCTGGGCGCAAGGCCGGCTTCCTTGGTCGTCGATCTCGGGGAAGACATTCCTTCGCGTCGCTAGCACGCCACACTAGCCACGACTGTCGCTGCAGGGGGAGCCTAGCGTACTTGCCACCACGAGCGACGCGATGAAGGTGGTTCAGGGGGGTTGAGAGCCTAGAGGGCTTGGTATCAGTACTCCGGCTAGACGAAAGCACAGCACAGTCGTGTGTGACCACGGGATGATGCCATTCTGGTGATGGCCCAGATCGGCGTGGCAGGTCGGATTTGACCGACGAATTGCCACTCAAGAGCACGCGAGGATGACTCAGTGGAATAATTAAGTTATGCTCCGTCGGCACAGAATACTGTGTCGGCCATAGACTTTGAAGGCTTTTGGTCGTCCATGTCATTTATAAAACCTTAACGGAACGGCTGCCGAGACATGGGGAGAATCCTGACGATTTGCCGGCAATCCCCCTTGGATCCTAGCATACTTTCGCCTATCTTCTTGATTCTTCGCGCGGCAAACTCACAAGATGTCTAGTGAAAGAACTATACCCTGTCTAGATATTGTTCGGTCGCATGGGACGGGTCGATCTCTATTAAATATACTGTACATCACCAGTCTATGAGCCAGGACCGCCCGCGCTGATAACACCCTGAGACCGATATTGAATATATAAATAGTAGCGAACGATTTGTCCTGCGCACTGAGCAGATGCTTGAATCACTAGAGTGAAACATGCGGACAATCCCGGCGATGGAGGGTATCACTATGATTAATCCAAGGGATACTTCTTCGAATTCCTGCTTTTGCTCCTGACAAGCGCACCGGCAGCAGCCGAGCCACAGACCAAACCTTCTGCAGCAGAACTTTCTGGCAAAGGATACGAGCCATCGACTTCTTAGCTGTTCAGAAGACCGATCTGGTCCGGGCGAAGACAATAGCTGCAGCTGCGGCCACTGCTGTACCGTGGGAATGGTGAAGCGCAAACCTTACTTCTATCTATGCGGGGGCTCCAAGATCTTGGAAATTTTAGACAAGAATCTTCGGTCAGCGATATGGAGGTTTAGACGACTGCGTGTACAGTCCACGTGGACAGGCGGTCAAGTGACTCAGGCAAGCCCTGACAAGCCTTGAGAGAATACAATTCGAAGTATCGCTGAGTTGCGCTGATGTTCTGGACAACTCTTGTCAAATCGCCAACTTTGGCTACTTTATTATTCAGTAGCGTTAGTTACTTGGGTGATCGAGATTATGCGTGCGTCTGACTAATCATGCAAGCATACACACCGACCGTTGTGCATCTCTCCTTAAGAGTCTCCCTGCAACTGCTCCGGCGATGACATTTCCGCGGCCTGCCGCACCTGCTGCAATCCACCGGCGTAGAAGACTTTCAGCATCTGATTGACCAGCAAAGCTGAGCAACAAACCGCCGACGGAATTCAATTTCCCGTATCAAGTGGTTCAGCATCTTTCCAAGGTCCGCAAACAAAGCTACAGCCTTGCCGTCGTGAACTGTTCATGCTGACCCCACTAGAACAGCAATCCCGTACGCACTATGCAACAGTCCCGGTCTCCTATTTCCGACGCCCTGCGACAACAGTCCCTGGCATTTGTGTCTGCAGGAAAACAATTCCTTGCTTGGAATCTAATGCGTAATCGGGCGCCGAGGAGCTGAGTCGCGATGAGTCGGGCTCAAACGCGCGAGTCCCGGGCGTTGAGAGAGTGGGCCCGTTGCCGGCAAACAGCGAAAGTTGCCGATCACCGGATATTTTCCCAAGCAGGGCAGGGATGAGCGCTGCCTGCCCTCAACGGGGATCTGCAGTGTTCCTCCAGGCTTGCACCCACTCACGTTCGACCTTCACCCTCCGCTTATTTTAGAGCGTGCATCCTCATCTCGTTCGGGGAACAGGAACTCGACGAGAATCAAGCGGATGGCCCTCGGTTACTCGGTCCAGTGGGGTTGACGGAAGATGTGAAGGGTCCGACATTAGGGGGAGTGTTCCTCGATTGCATTCTTGGATGATGGGTTTTTGTTCGAAATCGCCTGGGACGTTGCTCGCGTAACCCACGAATCCGCGTGCTTGGACTTGGGCAAGGGTCAACCTCGAGGCAATTTCGCCTGCTACTGCCTTCACAACCGACGTTCGCACAACTAAGTCCCTCAGCATTTCGGCTTGAGCGAGCTCAATTGCAGGCCCCCTGCTCCCGCCGAACGGTCAAGAGCCCCAGCATCGTGAAAAAAGAGGCAGTTTGACAGGACCACGCGTAAACTACTGCAATGACACTACCTCAAATTCGGTGATTTTGCGACAGCTGACTTGACCTGGTCAGTGAGGACACCCAGGACTTGAGGGGTTGGGTTTTCACAAAAACGCACAATGTTGGGGTGGCCTCTAGCCGGCTCAGTGCTCGCCTTCTGACTTTCGGTCATTCAAAAGACTGGTGCGCGAGAGAAGCTATGCTTGATAATTGCGACCAATTTTGGGATCCGAGGCTTTCCAGACTGGCCCACTCAACAACATTTCTCGCCCTGATGCGCCCGGGAACAAGGCAAGAGAATTGAGATCCATGCATGCCAGAAGTGGTGAGCAGATCAGGTAGCAGCCGGAGAGCAGGTTTGCGATGCCGGTGATACGTCGCATCTCCCCTAAGATGGGCTCTTTCGTTCAAGGCTGGTAAAATCCAGTTGAATCACCGCAAGAATCACCGCGATGCAATGTGTAGCAAATCAATCAGCTCTGTCCTGATTCTTTGGGGACACGATGTTATCCACCAAATCTTTTTGACACCCCTTTGGGGCATGCACATTGCAACGATTTACTCTTGCCCCGCTTAGAATTATTGTCACATAGTTTTAACTCATATTTGGTCATGCCGTCCCTGAAACCTGAGCCCACGATGTGTCAACTTAAGCCACATGAATATACGAACCCGACACAAACACAGCGGACTCGGCTGATTTAACCTCCAGAAGATGTGAATTCTATGCATTCATCAATATGCAGTCTTTACCACCATGCTACTCACCAGGGTTCATCATATCTGACTCAAAACACATCACCGGCCTGGGCCGCTTATTGCTGGATAAGGCGTTCATGCTGCGAGTTGTGCGAAACCTGGGTGCCTTCTGTCTAGGAAGCCGTCAAACAACACAACACCGATCGAAAAAATGCAACCGATAGAACCCCTGGCGTTGGGCATCACATGAGCTAAACAGTACGAACCACTTGCAGAACAAAGACATGTTCAAGACTTGACAAATCGGAGCGATTGTGCAGGTATTCGAGTCGTTGGCGCGCCGTTGTACCTTGTAGTTGGACTAACAGGCGTATTTGCATTTACCCTGTCGGACTAGCTTCCATGTTTGCTTCTGGCGGCCTGTCATTTGATCAGACTCTTCGTTGGGTGTTGTATCGCTTATCCGTAGAGCTGAGATGCGAGTCGCCCTTATAAACCAGCCCTGATCCCCCTCGGGTCGCTCTTCCCCTGACTCAACATGCTGCAAATTAACTAACTAGTTACCACCTTGCGATGTTGTCAGCATCGTGAGATTGCCTAGCGTCAAACATCCAGAAAGGAAACGAAGGAATAGCTTAATACCGGCTAGTATAATGATTGTGCAAAATTAGTGGTCAGTTCGTCTGTTAGCATCAGCCTGTCAGCACCCCTCCTTTTGCGCGCGACCCCACTTCAGCCTCACCGATACGAACAACGCCTATAAATCCCGTCGGTTCTCAAGTAACCACCAGACACAGACAAAGAAAAATTCTTGAGTAGGCCTACTTCCTCATTCACTAGTCCGACTTTTCTCGGGCCTTTCCTCTTTCCTACCGAGAAGTCCTTCCTCCCAAAATGGCCGACGTAGAGTTTCTCGCCCTCACTACCAAGCCCTCGGCGCAGCTGGCTTATACCTTCCAAGCTCCCGACGGAGCATCCGCCAAACCCGTCCTGGTGGTCTTTGTGAATGGGCTCGGCCTTCCACAAGCCTTTTGGCAGCCTGTCATTGCGCAACTGAAATCCGCTCGCCCAGGCAACAGCCCAGCCTTCTTGACGTACGACCGCTTCGGTCAAGGCCAGACGACCGATCGCGATCCCGCCGACGCCGGCGCTGAGGACCCCACCCACGGCCATGACTGCCTGGCCGCCGTCCAGGATCTCCGTCAGCTGCTCGTCCAGATCACCACCGAGAAGCTGGGGGTCGCCGACGTGAACTCCGTCTCGCTGGTACTGGTGGGGAACTCGATCGGCTGCGCGTTGGCTCGGCTTTACGCCCAGAATTACCCCGGCACCGTCGCCGCGCTGTTATTGCTCGACAGCGTCCTCGCCAACTCGGACTTTATCTCTATCTTCCCCGATCCGGATTCTCCGGACTTTGACCCCGCCAGCATTGCCCCGATCCCCGTCGAGGCCATCCGCGCGGTGCGGGCCGGCGTCCGCCGCGTCTTCCACCCGGACGTCGGGAGCAAAGAGGGTCTCAGCCGGCGGAACTTGCGCGAGCTGCTCCCGGCCAGTGACGGCCCGCAGCTGAAAGGCCCTGATGGTCACGGACCGTATGTGACGGTCGTGGGACACGACTTTGATGCTTTTGCGGAAGAGTCGGCCAAGATGGGCCCGCCTAAGCCGGTCACGAACCGCTTCGTCAACCCCTACTGGCACCGTTATAACGAGGGACTGGTCAAGATTACCGAGTCCGAGTACAGCAAGGGCCCCTTGATTGCGCCCAATGCCGGCCACTTTGTGCAGAAGGATAATCCGGAGTTTGTAGTACATGAACTGAATGAGTTGTTGGAGAAGGTGCTGTAGGATTCGGAATGATTACGAGAGAGCTTTTTCTAAATCATGAACATTAATAATTCATCCATTATTGCTTCTGCGCTGCTGTGTGTGGCGCATCATCAAGCAGCAGTCAATATGTCATATTGTGTTGAGTTAGGATGGCTCGTATCGATTGTGGTAGCTCGTACGCATCATGCAAAACCGAATCCATGGCAGCAACTGGGACGATGCGACTGAGGCTATGTGCTTGGTCTGAGACAGAGACGAGCCCCCAGACTATCATCCTGGCCACTTCCTGCTTTACCGCTTCAGCATGGAAATTGTAGCGGCGGACAGCTTGCCTGGATGTAAAGGCTAGGCCAAGTGGGGACAACTACGGCCATAGACCCATCAAGGGTGTGCTCGTATCGAGGACGCTCACCCATAAGTCACCGACTATGTGGAATTTTCCATATGAGACATTCGGCCCCGAGTGTCTGCACTCGCGCGCCAGGTGCATGAAGGGGCTTGTGCTTGGAGCGATGCAGCTTATTACTCCCCACCGTCAATATAGAGCGTCCAGGAAGCTTTGGCCAGCATGTGTGCACAGGTTAGGGTGCAGGGTCCTGGTGTTTATTGAGACGATCAACATTGTCGCGGCGCCCCCACCCTCGTCAAGTGGGCACATATGTAGGGGCCACCAGCGGATAGGCTCGCTATTTAAGTGTTGTGGCAGACTAGAGCATCCCAGAGTAATTACGTCCCTTGTATCCTTGGCTTGGAACTGGTCCATGTATTAAAAGGGCAGATATCGGGAGGTGGACGGTGTGTTTAGTAACCAGAAGGGAACGAAGGTGGTCGTGGAGGGATTGAATAAGGTCAGGTTGATGCTATGATGCTATGATGCTTTTATTAATCGCTTGATATATAGTACGATTCTAACTATGTTATTTAACAAGTCTTAGAAGGGGGTTGTTCCTAGACTTCAGTGCTGGTATTTGTGAATAGCCAACTGAGTTATTTTTCATCCGATACAGGTTCATCGGTTAAGGTTCTTGGGGTATAGTTGTGTCAAAGTCAGATCCATTAGGTTAATGATGGGCCTATGCCCACATTGCGCTTCGAGTGAATGTAGATACTTCACAATGCATACTTGATACTTTAGCCGTCGATTTTCCTGGCTGTATCCATCCGGTTTCTTCTCAGCCGCCACTGCCCGCCCACCCTCTTATTTCGACCACCTTCTACAACTTCTTGTTCCATGAAGTGGTCATATCGCTTGCATAGAGCTGACGGCCCTCTAGCTCTGGCTTTGCAATCATGTTCTCGAAGAGAAAATGTTGTACAATGTTCAACCCTTGCATCAAAAACTATCGCGGAGGCTCGAGTAAGGTATCGAAGCTTCGTCTCAAGGGATCGCCCAAATGGCCACCGCGCCCCCAGCCAACGGCAATGTTGAGTGTGTAGGAAAGATGGCTATTTTAGAGAAACTTTCCTTGAAAAAATTCCATGGAAGCTTCTCAGCTGCTTCTCCGTCTTCCCACACATTACTGGTCTACAGCACATGTCAACCACTGCCCTCCGTTGCACCAGCCCAAAAGGCCCATAACACATTCCACAAACATCACTCTTCTCTTCTATCAGGAACCATTGATAGAATAAGCAAATTACCATGTCTGCCAGCTATGCCTAATGCCTTTAAGGAGGCCTGAAATTCTGCCTCTTTTAGAAGAGGAGACGGTCGGCCGGTTGCGGGTGTGGGACCTTGCGGCCACGCTCTGCGCGGGCATTTGATGTTGGTATAGCGATAAGCTCGCCAGTGGTACGAGTTCACGTAGCTCTTCTACCTCTTCGAAAGAGCTTGACTCTCTAATTCTCTGCCCCTTTCCAGGCCCATGCGCCTGATCCCTCCTCCGCAGACCCTGGCGCGCTAGACCCTTGTGGTTAGATGCACGCAGTCCTCCCAATCATTGTTTGGGGTAACGTCAACCGACGAGACAGGGTCACATCTCGCTCTCTTTCTCTCTGAACAAGGCGGAGCTAAGATGTATCTTCTCATGTCCAGTTCCACTGACTCTAAAAGGACGTGCCCGACGATCCGGACGAAAGATTGACCGCGTGGCGATAGGGTACAGCACTCATCGTGGTGAGCTTACTTGTAGCGAGCGACACACAGTTTCCAAGAGTGTATGATAGATGTTCATTTGTCTTGGATGAAATTGGACATTATTTCGGGCTTCCGCTTATTTGGGCCGGTGCCTAAGGCTGGTTGGGGCTTGGGGTCAGCAGTTGGCGGGTGCCTTTGGGCGGTGGTAGATACGCGATCTAGAAGCCTGTGATAGTCCGGAGGAGGCGGAGGCACAAGGCAGAGCTCGTGATGACAACCATCTTAGGGGCTAATGCCTACAAGCTGTCTTTCTACGTGTCGGGGAATTGTGTGTACTTCCTGCTGCTGTTGGTATTGTATTGTGCAATAAGTGTACATTTGCCGATCCACGCGGGTGGACTGGTAGATCAACTCTTCAGTATCAACATACCCAAAGTCCAACTGTAATATGGCACCACGCGTTGGCTTATTCATCCTAGTTGGTTCCTCGGCTGTTGGGGATTCACACTCGAGAAGGAAGCCGCCGGCCTGCTTGGTTACTGGATGTGCCTACCCGACCATTGTCGAGGAGAGCTCGTCGGTAACGCCAGGCAATGACACCTTGAAGATACCGCGGGATTGCTCCCGTATTTCGAAAAGACAGAATTGTGCCCTATCCTCAGCTGATTAGTGGCTCAGAGTGACAAAAAGGGACTCTACCACAGCGATGATGGATGCCATACGGCACTGCTAGAAGGGCTCCCGCAGCAACCGGTCGAAATTCTCCAACAACACCTCCGAATCCTTCCACGCTACCGCGATACGAGCATCTCGTTCACGACATCTGGTCGGCCCGCCCACCACCACCCGCTGCTCGCCCTGGCGTCGCGCCTCCTTCACCAACTTTGATGTGCGTGGTTGACGGAGCTGTGCGAAGGCTCGGAATATCTCGATCAGGTTCACATCCCTCAGCTGCGTGGTCTCTGCGGCGGATATCGAGCTTTGCTGGAGGTCTGGGAGCAGATGTGAAAGGTGATAGCAATCCTCCCTGCGTACAAGCTGTTAGCCTGACTGAATCCTCATTTGGTCCCAGCTGATACGTACAGCGCCTGGTTCGCCCCCTGTCCGATATGCGGACTGGTAGGATGGGCAGCATCGCCCACCAACACGCATCGGCGTGAATACCACTGCTCCGCCGTCAATTCCTCCCGATCAAACAAGCCGTACTTGATCAAACGTTCCGCATCAGTGACCAGCTGCAAGACCGCGGGCTCGAAGCCAGCCAGTTGAGCCTGCAGTTCGCCGCGCCGCGCCGCGAGTTCCTCTGCACCGGACAGCCTCCACGTTTCCGGCTGCTCATTCGCGTCCGGTAGCGTCACTGCCCAGGAGGTATGCGTCTTGGAGACCGGATACGCGATGACATGGATGCCCTCGCCGTACCAGTTACTCATCTGCCCTGCTCGGTCCTGCAGGGCCGCCGGGGTGGGCGAGATGCCCGCGGTTTGGGTCAAGCCCGTGAACATCGGAGGGCCCTCCTTGCTGTCGTGGTGGTTTCGAAGGATCTCCCGCCGTGACGCGGCCTTGATCCCATCACATCCCACGAGGAACGAGCCGGTCATCGACTGCCCGTTGGTGAACCTGGCCGTGACGGAGTTCCCGTGCTCCTCGATGCGGAGCAATTCCCATCCCTCGCGGACCTCGATTCCTTGATCCAGGAGCAGGGCTTCGAGGCGGAGATTCAGCTCGGAGCGTCGGATGCCTACGGCTGAAAACCCGTATCGCGTCTTAAATTCCCCAGCCAGGCCCGAAGACGCGAGGGTGTGGCCGTCGGGCGTGCCGTGCCAGTATCCGCGCAGCGGTTGGAATTCCTGATCGAGGGACTCGGCTATCTTCAGGAGACTGAGGACCTTCATTCTGGGACATTGTCAGTATGGTGCGAATCTTGATTAGAGAGGCTGCGTGGCTGACCCGTTGGGCTGGATGAGGAGCGATGCGCCCGCCTCGCCGAGTGCGCTGACCCTCTCGAACACAATGGGCGCATAGCCTCGTTGTTTGAGTAGAATGGCCAGCACGGGGCCGGCAATTCCGCAGCCGATGATGAGTACTGTTGGCGAGGTGGCCATGGTGTTCTTCCGCAAGTGAGTTGATCCTATTGTAACTGAAGTTTCGCGACCGTGGTTTCTTATATACAGCTGGCGGTGGGGCCAAGTGCTGCGATCTTCGGAGTTCCCGCGGAGTATCCGCGGAGGGTCCGCTGCCTTCTCCCCTTCGAAGTTGTAGTTCGCATCAAACGCATTTGAATAGGTATAAGTCAAATTTATTTCGATAGACATAACTGCATTACACGTGACCCCAACATCACCAGGCTATACTCATGCCCTTTCCTCCTGACGGACCGACGATTTCTCCTCCTCGATATACATGCTCCCCAGCTTCTCGACCGCCGTGGCGTGGTCCAGCTGGTCCAGACCCACATCACTCCGCGCCTGAGCCAGCAGAATGGCATCCTGCTCGCCCGTGCGACTGTTGAACACCCGATCCATATCCTCCAGCGTTGCGCCCTTGGTCTCGGGGAGGCAGAACCACACCCAGACAATGCCGGCTGCCAGGAAGACGGCGAAGAAGATATACGTGCCCCAGGCCCAGGCGGAGAGCATGGGCGGGACGAAGAACGCGACCGCAAAATTGTTGAGCTGTCCTCTGGTTAGCATAAACAGTCGATCACGCGGGCAAAAGAGAAACGTACCCAGTTACTCGACGCGCCGAATGACGCCCCCTTGGCACGGATGGAGAGAGGGAAGATCTCGGAGACCAGGGTCCACGACGCCGGGCCCCAGGTCGCCCCGAACGCGCCCACATACACCCAGATGAATGCCACCGCCGTCCAGCCCGCGGCCGGATGGCCCGGCCAGTCGTGCCGGAACTTGGCCACAATCACCCCGGCGATGATCATCGCGATGAACATGACCGTCGACCCCAGCAGGAGCATGGGCTTGCGGCCGACGCGGTCGATGACCAGCATCGCGGGGATGGTGCACACAAAGAACACCCCCCCCGTCACGCCAGTGGCCAGCAGCGCCGAGGTGCCGCTCGTCAGGCCCAGACTCTGAAAGACGTTCGACGCGTAGTAGATGATGGCGTCGATTCCGGACCATTGTTGGAAGAACATGACGAGCCACGCCATGGCCACGCGTTTGAAGTTGTCCCAGGTGCGCACGATGTTGTAGTACTGCGCGAACTCGCGCGCCAGGACGCTTTGCTTCTCGCGCTCGGCGAGGTGCGGGAAGGTCCGCGCGAACGCCCGCTGCTCGAACAGACACTCGGCCTTGATCTCTTTGTACTCGTGTTCCACCGCGGGGTGATCGGCGGGAAGCTTGCGGAGGTAGGCGAGTGTTCGGCGGGCTTCCTCGTCGCGGCCCTGCTTCACCAGCCAGCGCGGGGAGAACGGCAGCCACCAGATGCCCAGGGCCAGGCATGCCGCCGGGATGCCCTGGATGATCGAGGGGAGGCGCCAGGCCAGGTCGGATTGGTGCTCCCCCGTGCCCCCAATGTTGTTGCTGCCGTAGCCGCACCAGAAGGAGAGCATGATCCCGAGGATGGTGGCGAACTGGTAGAAGGAGACCATGAAGCCGCGGAGTTGGGGAGAGGATAATTCGGCATTGTAGAGCGGTCTGTGGTCGACGTGGTCGCGCGTTAGCTATTTGTACCGGGCCTTGCAAGAAGAAGAGCCACTCACCCAACACCACTGAAGGTCCCGACGCCCAGCCCCGTGAAGAAGCGGCCCGCATACAGCAGGGCTGGGTTGTGGTAGGTTGCACCGCAGTAGAGGTAACTGCCCAGGACCACCCAGCAGCAGGCCGAGAACATGGTGTACTTGCGCGAGAAGACCTCGCCCAGGATTCCCGCCGAGAGAGAGCCCACGATGCCCCCCAATTGCAGCACGGAGGTCAGCCACCCCGTGGCACTGGACGAGGCGACCACCGTGGGGAAGTTGTCCTTGAAGCGGTACATAACGAGGGACTGGCCCAGAACACCCTGCTGGTAGCCATATTCGAATCCACCGAATCTAGAAGAACTCGGTGTCAGTACGTCTCGTTCGTTGGTGGTTGATCGCAGAGGTGGGGGTGCCTCACGAGGCGAAGAAGGCAATAGCCATAAGCTTAGGGTTGTTGCGGAGAATGCTCCATCGCGTCTCGGGTGGGGGATCTTCCCACTGCCCGCGGCCTTCAACGTTCGACGAGGTCATGGTCAGAGTCAGCAGCAAAGCTCTTTAAGGCGCATGCGACCGACCAGATTGATAAGAGGTAGCAAGAGCATCTGCGTCTGCGACCGCGGCAGTCGCGGGGTTTTTATGGACTGGGACGGGGGAGCCATCCCCCACAGCTGCGGTCTGGGGAAGCTGCACAGACAACCCCAGATCCAGTGATGAACATGACGCCTGGACTGTCCACGATGTGATCAGGCCATTTGGTGCGGGGGTAGAGTGAGCGTTTACAATTTCCCCTCCCTTGAACGCACGATTTGAGGGGCCCAATCTATTTGGGACCGGCTAGCCACGGCCTTCCCTCCTTAATGTCTCAGCGATTAGTCAATCTCCCCGTGGGGTGGCTGGTTTCTGCAGCGCGTAGTGCGGGGGTGGCATTTTTCTCTTGGGTGGCCTAGACGAGGTGCCCCACTTGAGGCATCTTGAGGCATTACAGGGGTGACATCGCGGGAGGGATGAGGGGAGCGAAGGCTCTATGACCTTGCAATTGCCCGGGTGGTTTGCATGATGGGATGCTTGGTGCGAGGGTTCAACATCGTGCAGATAACGAGATCAAGGAGGAGGAACTAGAATGTTTGGTGGTGTGGAAAGTGGTGGCTCTGACTGCTGTCTAGGGCTGCAAGTGAGAGAACAAGTGGGTTGGAGGGAGAAGCTCCAAGCCGGCGCGTACAGTTTCCTACTAACCGTATGGGCCCGCGGGATCTAACCGCACTGGGAAGAACAACCGCTCTTCCAGGCTCAGGATAAGCTCTAGATCACTAGGACTGGTTTTGCAGCCCACCTGATAAATCAATTGACCGATGATCATCAGCATTATTGAACAATGGCACTAACTCATGGTGTGATCACGACGGATCTCTATTCTATATAACTGCAAGCCTCAAGCCCTCCTAGTACTGCGACCGACACTCCCAGTTCGCCGCCTCATTTGCATCCCCCTTGCCCGTGTACACGGCCTTCTGCGGGTAGAAACACAATGGCCGTTGACGGTACACTTCATCCTGGGTCGTGTCATTCTGCCAGGTGGTGGCGACCAGCGGCTCGGGCGAGGTCCCATTCTCCACCCAGCTCATCAGGGCCAGCAGGATATCGTGCTGCGCATCCTGGTATTGAGGGACGCTGTGGAGACTCGACGAGAGCGTGGGAGCCTGGTTGGGGCCCGCGAAGTACCACGGCGCATGCATGCTCTCTGGCGTGCCTGAGCAGTGTCTTCAGAGGTCTTATCAGCCCTGTAGTCTCATACTCTTGATCGAATCCGCAGACAGGGTAACTTACTGCATGCCAGGAACATAGAAGAACCGATAGAAGGAGTCCAGATCGACCCCCTTGGGGATCAGCTCCTCGGTGACCTTGTTGTAGTAGTGGAGACTGCTGTCGGTGGGAATGAGCCCGTCCGCCATACCGTGGTACATAAGCAGCTTCCCGCCCTTCTGCTGAAACGGCGAGATGTCGAAATCGTCGGCCGTCGCGTTGCCGGGGTCGAGTCGATCCGCAAGCTGGATGATACTGTAATCGAACTGGTCATGTTGCCACTGCTTGCCCTTACCAAGGAAGTACCGCACGTAATCGATTCCGAGGCCATTGGCGGTCCCGTTATTGACTAGCACACTCCACTGCGCTTCGCTGCCCGGCAGCAGGTGGGGAAAGACAAAGGTCTGGTTGACGTCAACGTAGTCGCTGTAGATGAGGCGCAGGGTCTGAAGCTGCGCCGGGGTCAGACACGTGGTGGCATTGATACCTTGACAGAGGAGCGTCTCCAGGCGCAGATTGCACTGTTGCGGCGCGGACACGATCCCGTCGGACAGTCCATCCTGGGGATCGCACTGCTTGATGATCTCGGCGCCGATCACGCTGAACATGCTTGTTGGGATCTGAGTGGCGGGGTCGGCATTGTAGCTCCCGATCTTCACCGTCCAGGGCTGCAGATGCGACGTCCACCACGCGGGAGAGCCGGCGATGACACCGTCGAAATCGTCGGGATACAGTTCCACCGATCGCAGTCCCTGTCTGCCGCCGGTGGAGCAGCCGCTGTAGTAGTTGTACTTCAGGGCATCGCCGTAGTATTGCTCCGTCAATTCTTTGGCCAGGACCACTGAACCGTGCATAGCCCGGTAACCCCAGTCGATCAGTCTTTCGGGCTCATGGTACGCCCACCGGCCATCCGAGGAGATGCTGTTGTGTCCTGTGTCGGTCGACATGGTGGCGAATCCGTATCGCGCGCCGACGCCCTGCTTCCGTCAGTTTCTGTCGAGATTTCTGAGGGTATAGACATGACTGACCATGTCGACCCAGTTGATGCCTCCCGCAAATCCTCCATTGCCGACCGCTCTGTTTTCGACCACGGTCAGCGACAACCCATGGAATCGGTTTGCATGAAACCTACAAGAATCTGTCGTTCCACTCGGTAGGCATGAAGAGTCCGAATGTGTACGCTGAGGTTGCACTTGATGTCACGTTAATCTGCACGACACAGAGCTCAGGTAATTCGGTCGGCGACTGCGGGTACGCGATGTCACTGGCCGGGACCTCAAAGGTGTCGCCCTTCGCGATGTGGAATGCCTGCAAGACCGTGGCATTCTCTTGGCCGGCAGAGGACAGGTACTTCGAGAATGACTCGGGTGTACAGGACAGTTTGCTCTCGGCCAGGCCGAGTAACGCGCTCGTCAGCGCCAGGTGGGAGAGATAACGAAAAGGACCCATTGCGAGTATGCCGCTCGTGCTGTTTGTTGTGAAGAACTCCCAGCCTGTATGAGGGGTTGAATAGTGCGGTTTATATTTCTCATGTCTCTGAAACCTTTGCAGACCCGGTGGAGAATCGAGGGTATGGCCTCGTCCAGTGGCTCAGGGGTCTGACAAATGAGCATCCCCACTTTGACCCCAGAGCACCCTGTTCTCCTCCTCACAATGGTTGCATTTTGCGGGGATGTGGGGCACGGGCTGCTAAGCGTTGTTATGGTGGTGAATAGATTGAGGACTCCACTCCTAATTTGAGAATCGCCGGTGAAGATCGAGGAGTCAACTGCCGTTCTGAAATGCCTTCGGGAAGTTGCATGACGTCAATCTTCGGAGAATTGCACTCGCTACCCCAGATCTCACAAAATTCAAGATTTACAGGATCGCGGTCGTGTCAGTTGCCTGGTCCCCCAGGACTAGATAAAGACAGCATGGCCAGGGGTATTGCTAACGCAGGGTGTCTCGGCAAATCTCGACCCATACTCCCCGGGCGGCAGTTGAGTGAAGCCGATCTCGGAGTATCCTCGAGTAGTGTCAAATCAGCAGCGGGGCTGAGGGCTCGAGCACCAGATTCTCAATTACATGATTCGGTGAAGAGCGATATCGGTGCACGTCAGCAATAGGCTATGAGATCTTCATGAATTCCCGTCCAACAAGGCAACTGTGTTGCAGCTCGGAAGGTGACAGGAACCCGCATCACGACTTGGATCTGTACAACGATGGAGAAAGCCTCACCAGACCGTGAGAGCTGTGTTCGCTCCTTCAACACTTCTTCCTTCTATCAGGTTGATCATGTTTTTGTGCTGGTCTAAGACTAACTCCTTGTTACTCCCTGATGAGATCATTGAACAATTTGAGACACAAATATGAATACCCTTGCCTTATTATCCATCCGAGGCATCTTCGGCGACTTCAACAACAAGACTCCCTGGATCTCAGAATCGATGTGTATGATTTAACGGCAGAAATCAAATGCCCGATGAGATGCGTGCGCGGGGGATTGATCGGTGTCTCGGACCGATGGGGGGATCTCCCCGCCCCGTCGGGCCCGGAGCCCCATATGTTGCAGGAAACTATATCAGGTTCGTGCCGGCCATGTCTCTGATCACGACTTGCTCCCTTTGTTGACTTTCTGGTTTGCTTTCTCTGTTCTGCTCTCTAAACCTGTTCTCTTAGGAAAGCACCCCTACCAGTCCTACTGAGTCTGCGCTCTGGACCAGCACGATAGGCCGACTCATCGATGGGCAAAAATCGCACCATCTTGTGAAGTGGGCAGTGATCGTGACCTGGCACTCAATCCGTCTCACCTACAGCGAATCCAAACCCGTCGCTCCGAGAACTGCAACAACTGCAACGATCAGTGATCATTGGGGAGGCCGGGACCAAGGGCCACAATGCATTGCCAGACACTCCCGTCAGACGTTTTCAACCTGCATTTCACCTCAGGTATGTGCGCCAGTCAGCTTTACTATAGTCATGATTCAAGCGAGCTTATCAGATTCCAGGGACAACGGGCTTTGCCAAAGTTCCCATGTTAACCCCTGCCCAATAGCACCTACTTACTCCTCACAGTCTTATCGCTTTACCGGCCAAGCAATGCGTCTGCGGCCCGAAGAGGTAGCCGGCAGCCCCCCGTCGCTAGCCCATTGCTTCGGACTCGCTCAGGGGCTCTTGAGACAAAGTCTAGACTCAAATGCGCGACTCAAGCCGGGGATGGGGGTCGCCGACATGATGCTGATTGCGTACGGAAATACCGGAGTGATTTCGGTCACGTTTGTGGTGGGTTTGGATGAATCCGACTCGAAACGTGCGGTGACGGAGGGCAGAGTCATCCCCACACCGTGGCCCAGCTGGTTGGCAGGCGCCGATTTCTGCCCCAGTGGCTTTTCCATGCAGGAAGGGTTAGGGGCGTAGCAAACCCGAAGCACAAGAGGTCATGCGCCGGGACGCTGATGGTGTACTCTGGTTTCATGCCGGGGATGCGGCGGTGCTGGATGACGCGGGGTATGCGGTCATCCCCGGTCGCATTGGGGATTTGATTATCCGAGGTAGGCACAGTACTGTACACCCAGTACAGTGACCATGCTCTAGAACTTTCCCTCGGTGTGAAACGAGGCGTGGGGTTGATCATCTGTACTCGATGATAGGAGCAACTGATGGCGCATCCGGCTATCAAAAATGGTGGGGATACATCTCTGTCGAACTTTAGGGCGTCATAAGGCGCGATAAGGCGTCCCGGCAGGAATCTCGGGAGTCTCTATGCAGTAAGCAGATTACTGTCAGTGAACTGGGGTTCACTGCGTCATTGAATTGATAAATTGTCCGAAGAGTCAGTCAGGCTGACTGCGACCGTGTAATCCCATTTCGATCCCATTTCAATCCCACCTCGTCGGTCATTCCGGTTGGTCCAGAAACTGCTGCTTCAGATTGGACGAATGGCTGTAGCTGACGCTTGGCGCGGTATTCTTTCCGTATTGTTACCTTCTGCCGCCAGGAGCCGGACGGAGTTGGAATGCGCCTCGGAGTCGGACAAACAGAACCCTTAAAAAGGGCACGCGCACTCCCAGCCCTCATCAGCCCTCGCTCACCCTCGGCCGTTCCTTCAACCTCGGTTCATCCTGCCTTACTACCTTACTTTGGTGCCCAGCATAAGACTCTCCCATCTATCTTAGCCATATCGATTATGCATGAACTATATCCAGCCTGAAATCCCGGACACCCACTGCCCACGACTCGATGACATCCCTCTCAAAATGCCACCCCCCTCTCCCACCGTGAGAATCGTCGAGGTCGGACCCCGCGATGGACTCCAGAACGTCGCCACCCACATCCCCACCTCCACCAAGCTCGACCTCATCCGGCGACTGCACCACGCCGGTTTGCAGAGCATAGAGCTAACCTCGGTGGTCTCACCCCGGAAGATCCCCCAGTTGGCCGACTGTCGCGATCTCCTACAGCATTCCCTGATTCGAAGCCTGGCGAGCGATCCGCACCTGCGACTGCCGGTCTTGGTCCCCAATCTCAAGGGATTGGAGATTGCGCGCTCGCTGGGCGTCAAAGAGGTGGCTGTGTTCATCAGCGCGACCGAGGGGTTCAGCCGTGCCAACATCAACTGTACTGTCGGGCAGGGGATCGAGCGAGCAACAGAGGTCGCATCCCACGCCATCGCGGCGGGTCTGGCCGTGAGAGGGTAAGCGGCGCTTGCTGAGAATATCTCTTTCCAGCATCGCACTGACTGCAGCTCCAGCTACGTATCCTGCATCTTCTCCGACCCCTTCGATGGCCCGACCTCCCCGGCTGCGGTGCTCCGCTGCGTTCGAGCCCTGCTCGACGCGGGCTGCTACGAGGTCAGCCTGGGCGACACGCTAGGCGTAGGATCGCCCGCCACGGTCCGCAGTCTGATCCGGGTCTTGACAGGCGCGGATGTCCCGGTCGACCGTCTGGCTGGACATTTTCATGATACCTATGGCCGCGGGGTCGCCAATGTCTGGGAGGCGTATACGTGCGGAGTGCGCGTGTTCGACAGCAGTGTCGCGGGTCTCGGGGGCTGTCCTTTCGCTCCCGGTGCCAAGGGGAATGTCGCAACGGAAGATGTCGCATACATGTTTCACAATGCTGGCATCGATACGGGGATTGATCTTCCCAGCTTGGTGAACACGGCGGCCTGGATCTCGAAACAGCTTGCAGACATAGACTCCACCCAGGCTGCTAGTGCCGTGGCTGGGAGGGTCAGCGAGGTTACCCCTCGGACCAAGCCGCAGAGACTGCATAGCCATCTCCGACATTACGATGGGCATTGGCCATCGATGCGGATGGAATTCAACTGCATTGGGGCAGGATCGAACTGAGAGTCGCGCTGCGCAGGATAGTGCGCGTGAGACCATACGAAGTAAAGAACTCCTTCATTGCACGAGAATTGGCGAGATCTGCCTATGTTCATACCGGTAAAAGCGACCTGGACCCGTCGAATGAGCTGTTCTCAGAACATGCAACTGGCAAATATGGCGCCTACGGGATGTGAGAGTTCTGGTTTGAAGTACTGGTCACTTGGGGACACCCGTCGGCCTGGCAGTCCGGTACTGTGCAGGACATACAAAGCACTTATACATCCTACACGCCTGCCTGTACATTACTTGATCGGCTACAGCAGGGGCAGTTCTTATGTGTACAGCCAAGGTGGCTTCAACGAATGGAAGATTGTACATACACGTATACGTGATAGATGAGATAGAATCCATCTTCTTCATACTATAGTGTATATCATGCACGCATTCTCGCTTCACTTACTTGGCCGGAAATGCTCCTCAAGAGCCATCACGACCAAACAAGTACCGTCCCAGACCCAAGCCCCAACTCTAATCCTTGATAAACCTCCCAGTAAACTGCCGAATGCGCTTCCCCCAGATGAAAACCGGCACGCCCAACAACCCCAAAGCCCCCGTCAACCCCGCAAACGTCCCAAACGTCCCCTCATAGCCGTTTCGCTCAATGAACGGGGCAACCCCATAGCTCGTGCCAAAGGAGATGATCCCCCGGAAGGCACAAATGATTACCAGCAGGGGGCCCGCACGCGTCGGGTAGCTGTCCAGCAGATAGGTGATAGCCACGATGTTGGCCCCGACAAAGCAGAAGTAGTACGCGGCGACGGTCCACGCGTAGATGAACCAGTGATACTCGTACGGGTGGGCGGCTCCTTGGCCGTAGAACACCGCTGTCACAACCCCCACGATGATGGGGAGGATCAACGGGATGATGCGCGTCTCGGGCTCGTGGAGGCCCCCGTTGCGCTGCGCGAAGTACCGGATCAGCCAGTCGGAGCCGTGGCCCAGCAGCGGGAGGGCGATCAGCGCCACGATGATCTGGCCGCAGTTGACGTAGCTGGCGCTGCTGTCGGGCCAGTCGTAAGGGGCTGCGGAGAGGATGGTGCTGTAGGTCGTGCCGATGGCCACATTGACGCCGATGGTGAGGCCGTTGAGGAGGAGGGCCCAGAGGACGTTGGGGAAGAGGAGAAGCGAGAAGGTTTGCTGTGCACCACAGTTAGGGCAGCGCACCATGGGCGAATGAAGTGACCCTTACCCGGAAGACTTCCAGAACCTTCGTCCAGTCTGGACTGCCAACCCACAGGCGGAGATCAGACTTCCACGTTCGGGGTGCGTAAGTGTCAAAGTCCAGCGCTGGACGCTCGGTGCAGGTTTCCGTGGGTGGATCCCCCACCTTGACATCCTCGGGTGTCCCCTCGCCCTGGTAAGAGCTCGCCGGCCGTTCATACTTGGTCTCCGGAAGGAAGCAGAAAGCCAACACGAGGAGCACGCCGGCCAGAGCAGCGCCCAGCCCGTACCACCATTGCGGCGTGATGGCTTCCGCAATGGGGGAGGCACACAACACCCACACGGAGGTGAGAGTCACCTGGATGGCCATCTGGCCCATCAGGGCCTTGCTCCGCTCGTGCAGGAAGAAGATCTCCTATCCACCCCCATTGTGCTCTCATGTCAGCAAAGTGCTCAGGCTCGACGATGGTATGATCTGACCTGCGTAATCATGGGCACTAGGGCCTCACTCTGCCCAGCTGCAAGACCCACGACCATCCGCGAGGATAAGTGCCACTCGAAGTCTCTGGCCGTGGCACAGAGGACCGCACCGATGACGAGGATGACAGTCGATCCTAGGAGGACGATTCGTCGACCCACGCCTATTGCCAGGGGCATTCCGATGAGATTGCCGATGCCCCTGTGCAGCATCCTGTGTTAGCGGTCCTCTTCATGACGGGGATGCAACGGTTGACTTGCATGAACAGGGTAGGATAGGTCATCAGATGGGTGATATCATCGTATCCTTTGCCGACAGCGCTATACTCGGGGATGTAGAACCCCAGCAGACCCCCAAACCCAGACACAAGGGCCAGTCCTAGCGTTGAGACTAAAGACATCAGCGGACGGTCGACGGTCCTCGTGAGGCCGGACTCACAGATCGAGATTACCACGAGTATCACCATCTTCTGCCATTTGGGCATATTGAGAGGATCTATCATGGTCAACTCTCACATATCGAAGCGTGGTGACAGTAGGGGTGGCTACCTTGAGGATCCGCGGTGGGAGTGGGAATGTACACGATCGAGCCCTCGGTGAGCTTAACCGTGCCGGTCACCACATCGGGTTTGTCGCCCATCTGGCCCTCTTCAATATCCTCGACGTGGCTGATGCACGATTTGTCGGTGGCTTTGGCTGCTGCCATGACGATCGGTTGCTGAAAGGATGGAATTGTGTGCGGTAAGATGAGGGCACGACTTCATGAGCCTCGCTGGGATGTCTCCTCTCCTCTTCTCTCGTCTGTCGTTATATACCAGTTCTCCCGTGGGCAATGGTATAGACGGTAGCTTAGGCAACTCCAGACGACAGCTGGCTTGGCTCTGCGGGGAAGCTACCCCAGACTCGGGACCTCAGCGACGCGAAGGAGCTCGGTAGTTCTGTATGCATCGTTTCGGGGGACACCGAGATTGAGGGGACGAGTCCTCGGGGGAACAGCATAGCTGGCCTGTCGGCTCTTGTTCGAGATCTTCAGTAAGGTTTCGGGGACTCTATCAGCATGAAGGGCAAGTTTGCCACAAGACGTGCACCCGCATTCCTCGAGATCATAATAACCCTCAACGTGTAGTCATGACAGCAGATCTCAGAAGGGAACTCGACGGTCGTCGCATGCATACAGAAGACACTCGGAGGCTACAAGGTGTTCTTTACTCGGCCATAGATAACATTCAATAACTTCAATTGCATTCTGGTATTGCGTAGATGTAATATAAGACATCGACGAATCCGGTCTAATACTCCTTGACACCCGCCAATCTCAGCACCTGCTCCGTGATGACCGGCTTCTCGAATGGCTCGGCGCGGTCCTTGGGGCACACCTGGCCATCTCGCATGGGCTTCTCAGCCGCGGGTCGGATGTTGCTATCACAGTGTCAGTCCCTTCTCAAGTTCGCTTCATGTTAGAACATACCAGTGTGGCCAGTGGGTGGTTCCAATGAAGTTCTCAAAGCAGAACTTCTTCAGCTCCAGCGCCCGCGGGGTGGCAAATCGCCGTGGCGTCATGCAGATGTACTGCACGTGTCGGATTTGGTCACCCTCCGGTAGGCAGGCGTAGTGCATCGTGCGCGAGTCCCATAGGACGAAGTCGCCGGGTTCCATATTAACCTTGATCATTTCGCAGCCGCGCTCCTTGAACCACTCGAGGTCGCGGTCGTGGAACAAGAAGAGGTCCATATACTTCAGCTCCGGGGGAGGGGCATCCTCGTGGTCGTACTGGTCGCGCTTCTGGGCAAAGAACTCGTCGAAGAGCTTGGCGGAGCCTTTCATCAGCATGAGGCCTCCGTCCTTGGGGCCGTTCGGGGCGAAGTTGAGGAAGCCTTGGACGGCTTGCATTCTACGAGGAGGTTAGATTGCGGTGTTGAGGGGGGGGGGGGGGTGTAAATGTGCTGGAAAGAAGGGGTGCTGACCCTTTTCGGTCGGGATTCTGATCACAGTGCGGCCATGGGCTCCAGTTCAGGTCCTTGCGGCGGGGTAAAGAGATGTTCATGCCGTCGAAGGAGCAAAGCAGCTCTTTCGTCTCCCACAAGTCCTCGAAGATCTTGACCACGGCCGGCTCAGTGCGGGCCTCCCATGCGATCTTTTCGTGGGTGGCGGCGTACGCGTAGTACATGCTGTCCCGGAGCTCCTTTTTAGCACACATGCTCATCAATACAAGACGGGGCCAAAGACTCACCCTCCCTTGAAGCTGATCGGAAGATGCTCGCCGGTCCAAGTGCTCTCATCTTTCTCGTCAAATCCCAGGTCGAAATTCTTCAGCCACTCGATCTGCTTGTCACAGTAGTATTTCGCCCGTTCCGGACTAATAACGTTCTTGATCACCACGCAGCCATTTTGGTGGAATTCATCGCGCCAGTCACCGTAGGTGCGGCCGGAGAAATCGACCAAGTCCCTGATGGTGAAGGACTCGTTGGTCTGAGCGGCGATCTCTTGGATCTCGGTGACAGTGGTAGACATGGCTGACTTTCTGGTTGCGTGTGCTCGGAAATGTGGACTTGGATTGAAATTGCTGGTTTGGTGCTTGAAACGAGAAGCCCAAAGTTGAACACTTAAGTAAACGCGCCGAGACTCAGCATCTCGTATGCCCCGAGGCTCTCCGCAGACTTGGCGCTGTCTCGGTGGTCTCGGGGCTGCCTCGGGGCACGTCTTGGGTGTATTCTCGGCGGAGGACATGCAACGAGCACCGAAAGTGCGGGCGCTTGACCCCCGAACATCCCTGAAGCTTGCCCCGGGCAGCCTCGGCGGCCTTTGCCAAGAGGGAGGTAATGCGGGGGGACGGGGATACCTATGATAGGATATGATCCGCAATACCTCCCCCATCTTCCAACCTGTTATATATACGAGACCATGATTGGCAAAGGTCATCGCTCCATCAGCTCGTACGTCACACACGCAAGAACAGCACAATCGGAACCGCTCGTTTACAATGCCTCCTCCTGTGCAATCCGCCTACAAACGCATCCAGCAGCCCCGAGAAGGGGAGAATGGCTACATCAGCCCGCAACCCGGCAAGACAGAGATCCTCCCTACAGGATGGAACGGATTCAACGCAAAGCCTTTGAAAAGCCCGATCCGGATTGACCATGATGTCGAAATCGTGGTGCGCGATGGTTGTCGATTGTACGCGGACATTTACCGTCCAGCCGACACCACGGAGCCAGTCCCAGCCATCTTGAGCTGGTCGTTCTACGGCAAGAAATACAGTGCGCTGGAGATGCTGCCGATGTGCACGTGGAATTGCTGCGTGCCTCGATCGGACCTCAGTGGTCTCGAGAAGTTCGAGGGCCTTGATCCCCAGACCTGGTGTCCGCGCGGCTATGCCATTGTCAGCGTCGACACGCGGGGAGCGGGCAACAGCGACGGCATGATCTGTGTGATGGGTTCCCAGGATGCGGAAGATGGGTACGATGTGGTCGAGGCCTTAGCCAAGATGGACTGGTGCAACGGTTCCATTGGCATGGCGGGCAATTCGGCTCTGGCTATCTCGCAGTGGTTTATCGCGGCGCAGCAGCCCCCCTCTCTCAAAGCAATCGCCCCTTGGGAAGGGTCCGGCGATATCTACCGGGAACAGTTCTGTCGGGGCGGCTGGTTCTCCATGAGCAACTTCGACCTCATCACCGGTGCGATCGTGCGTGGGCACGAGAATTCCGGAATCGAGGATTTCGAGGAGATGTACCGGCGCTCCTCTACATCGAGTCCGTTTTGGGAGGACAAGCGGGCGGACATGACTCGTGTTCAGTGTCCGGTCTACATCCGAGGCTCAGACGTGAGTTCCATCCACACAATGGGCTCCGTGCGCGCATGGCTCGAGCTGCCGCACGACCAGAAATGGATCCGATGGGGGAGCAAGCAAGAGTGGTACGAGCTGTACAGTTGCCCCGACTCCCTGGACGAGCTCTTCCAGTATTTCGATCGCTACCTCAAAGGTATCTCCAATGATTGGGAGAAAACGCCCAAAGTGCGATGGTCTGCGCTGCAGTTCGGTGACCGCGAGGCCATTGACGATATCGAGCTTCCGGATTTTCCCGTACCATCCACCGAGTATCGCGAGTTCTTCCTGTCCAAGAACCGATTGAGCGCGGCACCAGTAACGCAGTACGAGAAGCTCTCGTATGAGTCCGATCAAGTGAACAGCCTCCTCGCCTTCACTCATACCTTCGACCGGTCCGCTCGGTTGATCGGCCTTCCCAAAGCCATCTTGTATATGTCCTGCGAGGACCGCGACGATTTCACCGTGTTCGTCATCCTCCGCAAGCTCGATCGCAATGGCAAACCACTGATGCACCTCAACTTTCCCATCCACGCGACCCCGGTGCAGTCGATCGCGGAGATCCCGACCAAGGATCAGGCAAGCCTGAATCTGCACCTTGGATCGGTCGGCATCCTTCGAGCTTCACATCGCGCGTTTGATCCAGCCAAGAGTATCCATTCCCAATTTCCGTTCCACCCCCATAACAAGCAAGACAAGGTTCCGCCGGGTGAGATTGTCAAGTTGGAAATCGGGATCTGGGCCATGGGGGTTGATTTCGATGAGGGAGAGTCGATCAGCGTTCAGGCAAGTGCCTCTGATAGCTCTAGTTGAAGGACGGAACTAATACTGGAGCAGGTGTCGGGGCAGTATCCCAGCATTGCCGAGTACAAGACGTGGTCGAAGCCGCGGCCGGAGGAGGAGTTGAATCGCGGCAAGCATTATGTGCACTGCGGGGGCGACTATCCCAGCTCGGTGATTCTTCCCTTCATTTGAAGAGGAAGGAGATCAGAGGTCATGATTCGGTTGTAGTGGAATGAAGATGAAACCTAGTAAAGGCAAGCGTTGTGTCCAAAGACTAGATGCTAGAATCGCTTGGAGACTGTTGTCGACAGTCAGAATGTTGGAGTCGCGGATGAGTGGAGTCGAGTTGCCGGGGGTTTGTGTTTGCACGCTTGTGTGTTTGCGTGTTTGCATATTTGCATGTTTGCATGTCCAATCGCCCCGTGCCATGTGATCGGGCGCCATTCTGCCTCAGGCCATCATGATCTTGCTTCCTCACTCTATCTTCTCTCCATGGTACCTTAGAATCAAGTTAACCCTGAATGACTTTGAATGATGCCGGAAGTAAACCTGGCCAAATAACTCAAGCTATCTGTCATTTTCATTACTCATTCTTCCAATTGTAACGGCCATCGATCACTTCCATGACGAGCGCTGCTCCCGCGCGGTGGTGAGTACCTTGCCGGAGGTGCCGGATCTCTCGATGCTGCTCTTATCGGATCAGAGCTTCTTTGAATTCATGTGCTAGGCGGTAGGTATATCAGGCATGACAATTCAGTTTGAATAAGGTCAATCAACCTGGAAGGGCTTTATCAGGTGGTGGCTGACCGTACCACAAACCAGCGGGTGCCCAGGACCAAAATATGTTTCTCCGCAAAAGCCAATAGATCGAGCAGTTAGATTCGAGTGGGACGAAGGATGGAAGGACCCAAGACACAGAAAAACGCAGATATGGAATGTTCCGATAGCGTATGTCAAGACACCTGACAAGCTCATGTCTGTAATACTAACATCCCGGTCCATTGATTGCGGTGAACCAGGTGTATGGATACCTATAGGGTCTCGGTGTCGGACTGATAAGACCGCGTGGGGAAGCTTTTTCTTATCAGCTTATCAGCCGTGGCTCATCCATCCATCCATCCTGCACTGGCAAGGTCCCCACCACAACGGAATCCGACATCGGGTTCCGCTTCCAGGTTCTCCAACTCCTCCAACTGCTCCAAAGAGCACCAAGCCAGCCCCACGCTGCGATAGTGAAGCCATTGGCCGACCTGATGGTTGATCTTAGATAACCGCCAAGCGGGATCGAACTGCCAAGCTGGATATATTCAAGACGGAAGCATGCACTTAGATAATTGCCAAGATAGACTCAAAAATGATAACCGGCGATGGTGCCAAGATGAGCAACGCATGTAGGTATAAATTGCATGCAGGTCTCTGCTGATACTCCGCCTTCTTCATCACAATCATCTACATTCTCGATCACTATGGCTATCAAGTCTGTTGTGCTCTCCGCGCTGGCGACGTTGGCGTCGGCTTCACCTCTCCTTCATGCTCGTGACAGCAATAGCACAACTTATGTCTTCACCAACTCCAATGGCTTGAATTTCACTCAGATGAACGCTTCCTTGCCCAATGTGACCATCTTCGCTACTGGTAAGCCAATCCCCCCTGCCTCCTGCCTGCTACCACTAACATCGCCGCAGGAGGAACCATCGCCGGCTCCGACTCGAGCTCGACCGCCACCACCGGGTACACCTCGGGGGCTGTGGGCGTGTTGACCCTCATCGATGCCGTCCCGTCCATGCTCGACGTGGCCAACGTGGCCGGGGTGCAGGTCGCCAACGTCGGCAGCGAAGACATCACCTCAGACATCCTGATCTCCCTGTCAAAGGACATTACCCGGATGGTGTGCGACGACTCGACCATGGCGGGTGCGGTGATCACCCACGGCACCGACACGCTAGAGGAGTCGGCCTTCTTCATGGACGCGACGGTCAACTGCGGCAAGCCCGTCGTCATTGTTGGTGCCATGCGTCCTTCGACGGCCATCTCGGCCGATGGTCCCTTCAACCTGCTCGAGGCTGTCACCGTGGCCGCATCCCCCAAAGCCCGCGACCGCGGCGCCATGGTCGTCATGAACGACCGCATCGCCTCCGCCTACTATGTCACCAAGACCAACGCCAACACCATGGATACCTTCAAGGCCATGGAGATGGGCTTCCTGGGGGAGATGATCTCCAACAACCCCTTCTTCTTCTATCCGCCTGTCACCCCCACCGGCAAGGTGCCCTTCGACATTGCCAATGTCACTGAGATCCCGCGCGTGGACATCCTCTTCTCCTACGAGGATATGCACAACGACACGCTGTACAATGCTGTCGAGAGTGGCGCCAAGGGTATTGTGGTTGCCGGAGCCGGAGCGGGAGGCGTCACCACCTCTTTCAACGCCGCCATCGAGGATGTCATCAACCGTCTGGAGATCCCCGTGGTGCAGAGTATGCGCACGGTGAATGGTGAGGTGCCGCTGTCGGATGTCAGCAGCGACACCGCCGCGCATATCGCCAGTGGGTACTTGAACCCCCAGAAGTCGCGCATTCTGTTGGGTCTCTTGCTGGCCGAGGGCAAGAACCTGACCGAGATTGCCGATGTGTTTGCCTTAGGCACGAACGCTTAAATGGGGGATTGAATGATGATGATGATGAACTGGTCTCGCTGGAGGCGAGCTCAATGACTGTATATAATCTCATGATAGATAGAATTCAATTGCTGATCATGGTCACTACCTCGATGCTTGGTCAACCCCTCGCAGCAATTACTCCTCCTCGCTGGTGTCATCCCCACGCACCAAGTCCGTACCAAGCTCCATCTCCCCGATATCGTCCGCTTCCTCCAGCGCACCAAAGTCTAGCAAACAGTCATCATTGTCTAGAAACGCGCTATGGAACGTATCCGTGACCTCCGCGCTCGTGGCCAGGACCTTGACCTGACACGCCACGGACTTCTCGCGAGATAGCCCTAACAGCGTCTTCAGCACGCGAAGCATGTCGCGTTCGTGCTCGTCCGTCTCGTACCATCCGATCTCATCCACGATGACGATGACTTTGACTCCCTTGGGGAGTTTGCGAACCAGCCAGGTAAGCAGCTTGCAAAGCCCGTCGGCGCTGAGGTTCCGTGGGTCGCGGAGGTAGGTTTCGATTTCTTGGACGGTGTCCTGGTCGAAATCATGCTGCTGCAGCAGCTGGGCGAGAAAGGCTTCAGTTACCCCTCTTCCAACTCCGGTGTTGCCGTGGTGATCGGTTTCGTGAAGGGAGCAGAACCAGGTTAGGCGCAGGTGTCCTGGTTGGCTTTCCAGCGCTGCGTAGATCAAGGCAGACAGGAGAGAGACTGCGGAGACCTCGCAGCCCTCGGACTCAGCGTCTCCTTCGATGAGAAGCTCGCGAGATGCTGGGTATGTAAGCCATCGTCGGAATTCACCCGTCGTGAGAGCTGACTCTGCGCGTCGTCGCGCAGCGGGTGCAATGCGCGCGCGATAAGACAGGATGTAGGCCACGTCTTGGGCTTCGGAGGCGGTCACATTGAGCATAGCCAGGAGGTCAGCCACGGTGACTGATGGAGGGAGTGGTTCAGGAGTGGCTGGTGCAGAGGGCGCGATGAGCTGGGGGGCTTGCAGCCAGGTACCAGGAGGATACTGGGGCAATGGGAGGAAATTAGGGTAGAAGGGCACTTGGGTCGTTGGAGGTATCCAGGGCGAACAGGCAATGGGCTGCGCCAGAGGCTGTGGACTTGGAGTGTTGCGCTTCCTCAGTTCATCTGGGATTCACTTGGTTAACGGTACTCATAGCACTGGTGATAGAATGAACTTACCCCAAAGGTGCTCGAGGAGATGGTTAGTCTCGTCGGACTGTCTTCTTGCCATCTCTTCTCTCCGTCTCTCCCGCTCCTCCCTCTTCCTCTCTCTTTCTTCCCATTGCTTCTCGCGTTCCTCTGCTACCTGGAACAACCCGTTCAGATGATTGAGCATCCGGGTCATCTGCTGGTCTGCAAGGCGCTGGCGGTCTTTCTTGGCCTCGTCCAGCTTGTCCGAATTGGCGAGAGTGACTGCTGCCGTGACTTCCTTACCCCGGATCAAGTCCTCCAGCGCCACGCGGGTGCTGTGCATCTCTGCTTTACGCGCCTGATTTGCCAGTTTTGAGCTATGTTTTTGGATTACATCAATGCTGCCCAGGAGCTTGTCCTGGTACTCACTGCCCTGCGCCAGACTGTGCCAGGTCCGCGAGACTAAAGACATGTGAAAGTTAGTGGTCGAGCGGTTCATTCAACCTGAAAAACAATAGAAACCCATACACTCATGGCTCAAGAAGAAGGCGATCGCATTCTCGATCGCCTGGAATATTGCGACCACCAAGGTGATCGACGTCTTCCGGATGATTCTGTCTCTGGGAAACGTCGCCATGAAGAACTCGATACTTTCAAAGTCGTCTTCCAACGCCTCAGGCTCGAACGCCGTGGTCACCTTCTCACGCACTTTCGAGGCCATTGCCGCCGCCTGCACCCAATCAGTATCTGAACCAACCACGACACGGTGCCACTTACATCCAGCAGGATGTCTATGGTCGCAATGAAAGGGGAAATATATTCCACCTGAGCAAGTAGCTTGCTCACCATCTTCGCTTGCTCGGTGTGGTCCGCCGCTTTGCGATAGACCTTTTTGAACAACCCCTTCGCCGTGGTCCGCTTCGGCACCTCATAATGGCTCTGCGCCTTGTCGAGTTGGCTACGCACCCCCTCCCAGTTGGATTGGCTGCGGATACTGCATCCCTTGGTGACCAAGGGCCCAGCCTCGGGATATTTCTTCTTCAACTCGATCATACAGTCTGGAAAGATGTCCGACCAGAATCTCATCGCGTCGACTGCTGGAAGAGCCGGTCGCGGCGGGATGATGTCGTCTTCACTCGGACTGGTGGAAATGGCGGTTGGGGAGACATACTGTCCCCCCTTACAGTCATACTTGATGCCGGGATGGTCGAAAACTGGGTTAATTTGGGGCAGGTGGTGGTCGATGAAGTCTACCGAGGCGGTGCGTGTCGGGGGGTTGCCTGGTGCACCCATGGCTAGTCCCCGAAGACTTTGTCGCTGGATTGCGTTTTCTAAAAAGGATCTCGTCTCTCAGATTCGAGTAACAATGTTGGGGATAGTTATGTAAGACTTCCGAGGGTAAGACTAAACGCTTGAAATTAAGTTGTAGCGGGAGGTGGTGGGAAGCTCCCAGCGCGGGACATCTTCAGTCCCAGCCTTCGCTCCGAGCAGCTGCCAAGGCTAGCTACTTGCTAATGATCGAGCCTGATCTTGACCAATGCTCCAGACAAAGCCAGGTGGGGATCATGTCCCGATGGATGGAGGAAAGTCAAGACACTTCGAGGTGGAAGAGGAGCGGTGCCAGGTGACTGCAGATACAAGCCCGCGGACATGCAGGATCAGAGGATGCGGAATCAATACGAGCTTGAGGGGCTCGGGTGGCAGTGTGGGAAGCAGTGACTGGAGTGAAGATCGTCCCAAGACGTGTGAATGGCGTGCAAATTGACCAACCTGCATTAGCGTGTCTGGCAAGTTCAGTGCAGTGCATCCCAGCCTTGCCCTAGCTGGCCCCGCCCATTCTAAATCACAGGTTGTTTACCATTCACTGTCCAGAGAACCCATCTGCACAGGCAGCAGTACACGGGCCGGCAAGCAGTTGGGATGTCAGGAAAATGATTAAGAATCTACTCGAGCTGTTGCTGTTCCGCTGATTAATTCTCTCTTGTGGAAACGTGGCTGTCATCTGGACAGGCGGACATGGAATAGCCTCGTAAGCACTAGGGGCAAACGGGAAGTCAAGATGGGGACGATTGCGCTCGGTCCCGCTTGCACGCTAAACCTCCACCTATCTCTGCATTGGGTCTCTGATTTAAAGTACCGAGAACCCATGCTCCCATCCAGCCTTGAACCCATGTCCTTGCAAACTATCTTTGCTTGCATCCTCCACACTAACAGCTGATTGAGACGGAGCCGCTCCAGTTGCGTCATGGCGGTCGTCGAAAGCCCAAACGGAGTTGATCTGCTGCAGCGCAGTGCAAGCCCCATTGCAGCACTCAACTCAACTGATGGCAGTGGAGGCAGCCATGCAGCGACTAGCGATGCGTCTTCCGAGAGCTCGAATGTGTCGCCACATGGCGAACCTAGTATAGATGCCTCTCAGGCAGCATCAGCAAAGCACGAAGCAGAGCCTACAATCCAGGTTGCCGACCTACACAAGCAGATTCAAATAATCCAAGAGCAGTTGGAGAACGAGCGGGCGCAACGGAGGATGATGGCGGAGCGAGCGATGGGACCGAGTGGGATGGGTGGTGCTTCGTGGAGTCGACCATGGTTGTATGAGTGGGACATGTTCCGGCCAGAGACCTACTCCGACCAGAACAGCAAATCCTACTACATGAGCCGTGTGACCGAGCCTATCGTCACCGATATGGCCCAGGTGCATGAGCGCAAGCGGATCATGATGGGAGTGGTCGAGGCGGAGCTCAAATGGCTCAAGAACGAGGACGACGCCTACACAACCATGGTGAAGGAGAAGGAGGACCTCAAGACGGAGAACACCCAGTTGACGGAACGGTTGACCATGATGGAAGCCCAAGTGCGCCAGTGGGATCCCAATCTGCTCTCCGAGAAGAAACCCACCAAGCATTCCAAGGCAACGGAGAAGAAAGGGGGAAGTGAGAACAATGAGGATGATGAGGATGACTCGTCCGTGAAGTTCCAGCAGTGGCCGACGGCACAGCTCAATCGCGTGGAATGGGCTTCCTTTTCTGCCCCTTATCATCAAGTGAAAGAGACCTTCGCCATCGATGTGTTGGAAGGGGAACCGGTCATTAGCTTCATGTCCTATTACCGGCCCTGGTGGACCATGAAGAAGAGCGTCTCGGAGGAGACAAAGGCCCCTGCAGCCAAGAAGAGACTCGCCCCCCCTGGCCAGGGGCCCATGCCCGAACGCATTCGCATCAACTCCCGGCAGATCCTCAAGATTCTTCAGAAGCTGGAACCGGATAATTTCACCGACGAGGACGAATCCCTGATCATGATTCGGCCGTTCAAGGCCCTGGTATTCTTTGAAGATCAGCTCCGCCAGATCCATCAGGTGCTTCTGGAGAAGCATCGAGGGGCACAGTCGAAGTCGCCCGAGGCGAAAAAGGACGAGGAGACAGCAGGCTCAGGGGAGAAAGAAGCTCGTCCCAGCTCTCCAACCGCCGCAGACCGACCGGAAGAAAACCGCGAAGGCGAGGAAAACCAAGGCAACCCCGTAAGCGAGGTACTGAAAGACGAGTTCACCTCCTCAGAAACCGCACTCGAGCAGCTGCAGGTGTTGATCAATTTTCTTGACGTGGATGTCAAAGCCAAGATGGATTACGTCCGCAGCGAGCAATGCCACCGGGTCTCCTTTGCTGATGTCTGGTATCTTTTTCGACCCGGGGATGAGGTTGTCGACCAGGTAGGGAAGCAGGCATATCGGGTCATAGGCGTCACCAGCTCGCCGCATAAAGTGATGTCACCCTACCGAAACTGGGAAACATCCAGCAAAGATGAACCCACGGTGATGCTGCAATGCGTTCACATCGACTTTGACGGTAAATATCTCGGGCCGGTGCTGCAAACGTTCCGGATCGCACGGTTCGACGGCGAAAAGGCCATCACCTCGCTTCGCGTCTTTCCTATCCGCCTGGCGGGCACCAGAGCGGGCGACCTGACGAGCAGCGTGGATGTTCGCCAAAAGCTCATCGCCCGTGGCAAGATGTTCATTGACGTCTTGACCAAGAAGCACATGCACTACAGTGGACTGACGCTGGAGACTCGCGATGAAGTGGACGGCCAAGTGGTGATTGACTTCGAGAAGGCCTTTGAGAGCGAAGACAAGTCCAAGCAGCCGGCCGAACTTGGCGACAATAACGGCGGGGACGGTGGAGAGGAAGAGCTGGAGAAGGTGTGGCGGCCAAAGATCCGCAGTCTGATCAGCATCGAGGTCCCTGATAATCCTGCATCCGACTGCACGGCCGCGTGCTGCGCCAGAGAACGCGTCCACAAAGACCTCTACGCCGAGCAGAAGCGGAACGAACACTATCGCAACAGCCTCATTCCGGAGGAGCTATCCCAGCAGCCCTCTGCTGCCATTTACCCTCGGGTGAAGAATTCCCGAGCCTCCGACGACGCCCTTTCAGATGATGATTTTGTGATCATGAGTTATCGAGTGTTCGGCTTCAGTCTGCGAAGTCGCAAATGGGGTATGCCACAGCCGTGTCCGGAGATTGTAAAGTGTAGTAGCTAATGTGCCTTCCCTTCTACAGAAAAGCTTGACCTCACCCATCTCAGCTATATCCGAGGCATCCGGGTGGAGAGCAAGGGCGAGGACCAAGGCAAACCGCAAGTCCGCGAGACGGCTTTCGATCAGCTGGTGCTGGAGGAAGGACACAAGAAGATGCTCTTGTCTTTGGTCGCACAACATTACCGTGACAAGGAGTCACCCACCGCTGCGAATGAGCAAGTCGATATTGTGCGCGGAAAAGGTCGGTCTGGATGGGAGGTTGTATACCGCTAGTATCGATGCTGATGGTTGGACGTTAGGCAAGGGACTGATTATTCTACTCCACGGTGCTCCCGGAGTGGGTAAAACCACCACGGCAGGTGCGTATGAGGTTTTCCTTTCTGGTTGAGAAGATAATTGACCTTCGACACAGAGGGCGTGGCCGAGCTCTTTGAGAAGCCTCTTTTCCAGATCACTTGCGGTAAGCTTTTCTGTTCCACAGTTCAAGCTGTCAACTGACACCCATTCCAGGTGACTTGGGCACCACGGCCGAGAGCGTCGAGCATGCCCTGGAAACAAACTTCGCCTTGGCTCATCGATGGGGCTGTATCCTCTTGTTGGATGAGGCTGACGTGTTCCTGGCGAAGAGAACGCCCCAGGATTTCAAGCGGAATGGCTTGGTGTCCGGTATGTTTGAAAGTCCGCGAGCATCGAAGAAAGGCTTGAGATTCCTGACCCATGTTTCTAGTCTTTCTGCGGGTGCTTGAATACTATGCCGGAATTCTCTTCCTCACGACAAACCGCATTGGCGACTTCGACGAGGCGTTTGGATCCCGTATCCATATAAGTCTTCACTACCCCCAGTTGACGCTCCCAGCCACGAGAGAGATTTTCTTGCTGAACATGAGACTCATCCAGCAGCGATTCACGGAAAAGAAGCGAAACATCACGGTCGATCGGGATGCCATCCTGGCGATGGTGGAGAAGTATTGGAAGACGCACAAGAAGATGCGCTGGAACGGCCGACAGATCCGCAATGCGTGTCAGACAGCTTTGGCCCTGGCGGAATTTGAGGCCGGAGGCGGCAGTCATGAGAAGATCATCGATCCGACCGCAGAGGTCAGGCTTAGCGTCACGCATCTCGAGACAGTGTCCAAGGCCTACCTTGAGTTCATGCAGTATCTGAGGAAGCTCTACAAGGTGGATCAAGACCGCTTGGCGCAGCGACGGGGTGTCCGGGCGAGGGAGCTGGATGACAAAAAAATGAATTTTACGGATGACGAGGAGGAGCATTCAGATTTCGATGATGAAGCAGACATATTCTCCCTAGGCAAAAAGACCTCCTCGTCCAACCCGGAGACGCCGACGCCAGGGCTACTCTCACCCTCCGCCCTCTCTCAGTCCCTCACGCTGAACTCGTCACCCACGCCTGTGTCGCCATTCAACGGCATTACCAGTGCATTGCAAGAGACTAGCCCTGCGCCCCAAGCAACAGCTCCGCCAAGCTTTCCCGGCTATCCCTCTCAACTACCTGGATACCCTCAAGCGTTCCCCCAGGGATGGCCCCAGGCAGCTCCGCCGCAAATGCAGGCAGGCTTCGGGTACGGGCAGCAGCCGCAACAGCCGCAACAGCCACCTCAGCAAATGGCGCAAATGTGGCAGAATATGAACCCAGCCATGTGGCAGCAAGCCATGCTTCAGGGCCAGATGCCCCCTCTACCAGGGATGGGTCCAGGAATGCCAGGCCAGCAGCCACCCCCGGGAGGACCTGGAGCCGAGAAGCCTTAGGATCTTGAAATTGAAAGCTGGGCGGGTGTGTACACCCATCTACACTTGTAAAATTACTGGAGAACTATATTAAAGGGGATGCCGACCAGATTTCATTTCGCTTAATATATACATCATCATCGACAAAAGGCCCCGCTTCACAAGCTTTTCTGCAGCGGGGATCAACCTCAGAAAACACTAAACAAGCACTCGCAGTCGATCTTAAACATTCAAGCAAGGAAGCTCTTCAGGTAATCCAGCTTGCCAAGGGGCACACCCTGAGCCCGCAGGATGGCGTACGCGGTCGTAATGTGGAAATACACATTGGGCAGTCCGAAATTGAGGGCGTAGGACTCGGGAGTGAACTCGACCTCGTGGTCGCCCAGGGGCGCCTTGAACGCCGTATGCTCCTTGCCGGCAAAGCCCGCGGGGGTGAGCTGCTGGATCTCGGCGAGGGTGGCGTCGATGCTGGCGTAGAGCTCCTGGTAGGTCTTGGCCTCGGGCAGGGGAGCGGGGGGCTCCACGAGCTGGGTACGGGCGATGGTCTTGCGGATGTTGAGCACGGTGGCAAAGATCTGGAAGGAGAGGGGCTTCATGTCCTCGTGGAGACGGGCGTTGAGGAGGGTGTCAAGTGCGATGCCCCTCTCGGTGGCATGCTCCTCGCCCTTCTTGAGAATGTGGGAGAGGGTCTGGAGACCATTGGTGAAGGTCGGGATGGTGATGGTGTACACGGTAGAAGACATGTTTGCGAGGAGTGTTATTGGAAGGAGATGGTGTGATTTAGTCCGATGATGATTGCTTGGTTCATACTATGTACTGAGTAGGTGGTCTTATAGTTGGTGTCTTAATAGTGATCTTACTATTATTGTGGGGAAGGGAAAGGGGGTGGGGAATGAAATTAGTAATCGGGCTTCCATCAAGTTCTATCTCCAGATTGGGGAGGGAGGGGGGTCAGCTTCGCTGCTTCACCACCTAACCACCACCTTCCGAGTCTGACGAATCAACATAAATTTGCTTCTTGAGAAGAGACCAGCAAAGTTGCTCATTGTTTCATTACTAATCTGGTGCCTCAGAGGCTGACTAGCGGTCAGATCAAGTAAGCGTTCCCATGGTTGTGATAAAGTATTGTCATGGTTCCATTGACACCCGAGCAAGAGACTCAGAGCCATGGTCCAACGCAATCGACTCAAGTAAAGAAGCTTCCCTTCCATGCAGCTGCGACTGCCTGAGCCACAGCATCCTGGATCACAATCCCCGGATGAAAGTCGTTGAACCAGAGACACGTCACGCCGTCGGGATTCCAACAGTCCGCCGCGGCTCCGCCGCTGTCCAGGATATTGTTGAAAACCGGCTGTGTGTCAACGACCTTGACGATGGCGTCGTGATGGGTTTGAGCGAGTACCTCGACTTTCTCGACGAGGATTGTGTTCCAGTGCTCAATGGCAGCTTTCAGGCGAGGGATCGTGTAATCCGGATCCGACCCTTGCATGATGTTCGGCGTGCGTTCAATCGCTGTACACCAGATAGTCAGAGAGGAGCTTCAGGGCCAGGGAATGGGCAGCATACGAGGGACAGTCAAGAGAGCAAAGTTACGGGCGCCTCCCTGATACACATGCTCGATTTGCTCGAAGAGCTGATCCAGAATCTCCCTTTCCAAGGCGGCGGCGCTGGTTTGGTACCAGGATCCTGCTACGTCGTTGACGCCTCTGGTATGGTCAGCATGGGACACTTTCTGAGCGTCGATCACTCAAGCTAGCAAGGGCAGCCTTACATCCAAACTGCAAAAAGAGTGTTCTTCGCATCCCATGGTGCCCAAGAAGGTGGTGGGGATAAATCCTCCTGAAACTCGTCTACCTGATCAATGATGGAGTACACCGTCGGGAGATACGGCGCAACGAGCGAAGCATTGACTGTAGCTCCTCCATAGGCGAGATTGTAGCTCAGGAGCAGGGAGTTGTTGTATTTGGCAACGATGTCCGAGATCCAGTTGGTTCCTCCAGACGCGGTCCACCCCGGATAAGGAGGGTTTCCGAGCGGGTTCGCAGCGGAGGGCTTGGTGCCGGTTATATCAAAGGTAGTGGACGTGTATGAATCTCCGAAACTGATCACATACTTGGTTGTAGCAGCGGCTGACCAGGCTAAGGCCAAGCTTGCCCCGGCAAAGCCAAATAGTGTTTTCATCTTGCCAGACAGAATCGACTACCTCGAGGACTCTGACCAATCAATGTCGAGTCACTGTCGAGGCATATATCCCCAACCAAAGGGAGCGATGATCGGGTAGGGTGGGGATCACTAGATATAGCCCCAAAAAAAGGATATCAGAAGCATGTCTCCTACAGTCATGCTGGACCCAAAGGTTGGATGGCAGACACATTAGGCCAATCAGTGTTTGTGGCTTGCAGGTATACTTCAGTTCTATTTATGTTCTGTGGCACTATCCCCAATTAGCAACGGAGCTTCTGGGACAGGTTCGGAGTAAGCACTCGGCGGGGACAAATTTTGTACTGCATGAAAAGTGCGCATGTTCCGTGTCTAAGTGACCACGGGCTTGGCAATTCTCTGGCCTTGGGCTTTCATACCTCCACTGAGTGTAGAAGTGGTCGAGAATCAGGTAGGCCTGCAGTGGCACTGTGCTGCATTAGGGCGACCCTCCGCCCGACCATTATTTAAATTTCAGCACAAGATCTGAAGTAGTTCGTAACCACATTGCCATCTTCGAAAGGCAGGGTATATATCTTATAAGATGACTATGTGCATGTGAGTCAAAGCTCCCGACAATATACTGAAACGCCAGATGGTCACAGTCCCACAAATGACGAGCATTCTAAGGCGATCAGAATCCTGGATGTCCGACCTCAGCGAGTGCCTCCTTGACCACTTCTTCCAAATGCTTCTCCGGCAATCCGAGCTCCTTGTTGCGCACCGGCTGCACGGGTTCGAAGTGACCACTGTATTCGCCCTGTGTGAACCCAATGTTGATCAGGCCGTAACCAGCGAAAGCGTCACCCTGCTCCCAGGCGGCCTTGAGAGTGGGGATCAGCTCCTTGGTATTGATAGACTTGCGCTGCCATTGCTCCCCAGTCAGCCGCTCAATGGTCTCCACGAGCTCCTTCTGGGAGGTGGCAAAGTCACTGGTGAAGACGATCTGGTTGGCGGTGGAGCTGGGGTTCAGCAGGATCCGGTTCAGCGTGAGGGCGGTGTTATCAAGGGTCGTCGTCGAGAACTTGCCGGTGCCGTCATCGGTCAAAGTCATGGTGCGGTTGGAGTAGTCCAGACCGAGGAAGTTATTGCGAAGGGACCTACCTTCATTAGCGACGAATCTTGCTGAGTGAATGGGGCACGTACCAGCCAATCCACATGCCACAAGCAATGGCCGTCCAAGTCAGACCATCGGCCTCTTTCGACCGGAGGTACGCTTGCACTTGCCCCTTGTCCTTGAAAACTGGCGAGAGTTCCTGTGCAGCGGGGGTGTTGTTATCCAATCCGTATTCCGATGGCACAAAGCGCTTGACACCCGCGGTGATGGCGGCGTCAATGAACTTCAGCTGTTCGGCGACCGAGAAACTTGTGATGGCATTGACAACCGCATCCTGGCCTTGGAAGGCCTTGATCAGGTCTTCCTGGGGGTAAGAGTCCGGGATGGTGATGATGTTGGCAGTGGATGGAAGACTGGCGCGGGCTTTAGATGACTCTCTGGTGAGAACGCTGACTTTGAATGTTGGCTCAGACAGTAGTGACTTGAGCAGAACACTTCCCAGTGAGCCACCTCCCTGTGAAGACTGATTAGCAAAGATTTCTGGTATCAGACAGGCGGCCATACCCCGACGAGGATGATATTCTTGTAGCCCTGTTCGCTCATGGTGAGAAAGTCGGTATCGGTCTAAGTATCCGTGAGAGAAGAGAGGTGAGTAGATGAGATTGTAGTTGATTTCGAACTAGTATTGACGAGTCTGTCACTAGAACTATATATACCGAACATTCGTCCTATACACATGGCGTGCTGGACGATCACTAATCTGGGTAAGCAGGAGCAGATCCCGGATCACTAATCGAGGAGGGTTTACGAGATGGTCAGCCCGTAACTTATCGCCTAGTGCTGACTCTTGACATGCCATGGTCGGACTACTGGATAAGGTGCCTGGTCTGCTATCGCACAGGATTCGCATAGTATGGATTGCATACACAATCATTGATTGACTTGCATGCTTGCATATCACATAGGCAAGAGGCGGGGCCCAGCATACACTTATGCAGCGCATAGAGGCATCTGCAACGCATCTGCTGAGTAATTATGCATGGGCGGTGGAGCTGGAAATGATGTCAGCTTCCCGAAAGCTTTTGGTTTCCACTCTTCCCTTCCACAACCATCTCTCCACTTTCCTCTCTCTCACTCTCTCTCGCGCGCGAGAAGAAAACCTACCGACAGTCATCTTGTCGTCATGCATTGTTAACTGCCTCTCTTCCACTCTCCGCATCCCTTTTCGCTACCATCATTCTCGCGTCATGGACCTGAGCCATGCTTATGAGCCTCCCTGATGGCCCCTCATCATTGAGGCTTCAAAACCACCGCCTCCTCCTTCTCGTCCATGCATTGCCAAATCTCCCTCCATTCCATTCGAATCGCTTTGAATCCTCCCGTCGTCGCTCGAATCATCCCTCCTCTCCGCTTATCCTCCGCACGTAACGCACGAAACGCACGAAACGCACGAAGCTTGTCCCACACAAACCCGTTCAACATGAAAATCGCTATTACCGGTGCTCGCGGCACGGTCGGGCGTGAGGTCGTCAAGGCGGCTTCGAAAGCCAACCATTCCACCGTCCAGGTCGACCGCACAGATACGGAGTACGATGGCACTCCTAACTCGGAAATGAAGACGGCGGATACCGCCAACGACTACCAGGCCACGCTCAACGCCTTCCAGGGCTGCGACGCCGTCATTCATCTAGCCGCGATTCCCGACCCCGTCGACAAGGGCGACGACCTCGTTCACAACAACAATGTCAACTCCGCCTTCAACGGGTTCCGTGCTGCCGCCGAACTGGGCATCAAGCGCGTGTGCTACGCCTCCTCCGTCAATGCGATCGGGCTGGAATATGCCAACCGACCCCTGAAGTTCGACTACTTCCCCGTCGATGAAGAGGCCGAGTCCCGCCCGACGGACGCTTACGCGCTGGCCAAGGACGAAGCCGAGCTGCAGGCCCGTGCGTTTGCTCGGTGGTTCCCCGGGATGAACATTGCCTGCATGCGCATACATGCCGTGTCGTCGCGAGCCGAGGCGCAGCAAGGACACAAAGACAACTGGGATACTGCAGCCGTGAAGAGTCTGTGGGGCTGGGTCAGTCCGCCGGCGACCGCGAGAGCGTGCCTGTTGGCCGTAGAGAACAGTGACAACTTGAAGGGATGTGAGGTCTTCAACATCGTCGCCCCAACGACTACGCAGGACACCCCGTCCAAGGACCTGGCCAAGAAGTACTACCCCGACGCAGAGATTCGAGGCGAGCTGTCAGGGAACCAGTCCCTCTTCGCCACCGACAAGGCAAAGAAGATCTTGGGATGGGTACATGACGAGAAGGAGTGACTCAATCGGGAAGCTATAATCTTTCCTCGTCTGTTGACTTTTGTCAAATGTCCTAGATTAGCGACTATAATGAAGACCGGATGGCACACGTGAAGTATAAACATGTACTTGTACCATTTCGATAGCAACTGCCGGTGGAGATATATAACGATCGGGTCAAGTAGAGATAGAACCCATGCTCTTGGAACGCGGTGCCTTTACACCTGTTCATTATAGCTCACTGTAGCTTACCCACAAGATTGCCAAACTCTACGACGTTTTCTAACCTCACACGTCTTTAGATATACCTTGTTGAGGTGTTGACTTGGTTGTGGTGTGGTGGTCACTTGACTAAGAAAGGTGCTTACTCATCGGCTGCCGCCTTTCCCCGACCGCGTCGCGTTGTTTCTCCACCCTTCGTGTTCCTGTCTCCCAGTCTTCGACTTCTACGATGCTGCCAAACATTATCATCTCACTCTCCACTCAATGACTAAATGACTACAAGTCCGAATCGTGACTGTAGTGTACGAAGTAGGTCAAGGAATCTACCCGGCCGCTTACTCGTCGATCGCAAATTGCGTTCGCTACGCCCTCACTCTTGGCATTGGTCCGGGTCGCACACCGTATGCGAAGAGTGCTGAAGTGTATGGTAGGGTTGAGTTTGTACTTTGTGCAATTTGAGATTACAACGCTTCAGTTAACAGCTACATGGTAGTCTCATTAGCATTGAGTGCTCGGGATGGCACCGCGGAGCACAACTCGGCGACCTGCTGCCACGCTATTCCGAAGAGGATGCTGTATAGTCCTCTAAATCATGGTTGAATCGACGCTCTGACAGATGCGCATCACCATGTGTGCCAGAAAAACTGTCATCGTGCGAGGAAAAGCTTTCATCACCCGAAGACTCCAGGTCGTCCTCTTCAGTCCACCGGGCCTTCAATCCGGGAGACAAAGCTACCGGAGCGTCTCCAATCACTCGACGGATCTGAAGAGGCCCGGAATCCGTTCGGCACACTTCGAGCCGAGTCATTGAGCTTTTTGCATACTGCACAAGCTCATGCAGAACCCATGCCAGCCGCTTCAGTAGCTCTTGCTTGTCTCGCTCCCATTGTGTGATTTGTTCTCGCATGTCTTGCACCCGAATGTCAGTGAACAAACCCCGGTCGTAATAACCCCGAGGACCTGCCCTACATGTCTCGAGGAAGCAGTCGAGGCTGAGAGGAGAAAACGCGAGGATGCAAAACTAGAAGCAAAAAAACGAGCGACCCAGCTGGAGCACGCGAAGAAGCTTAGTGAAATCGAAGAGAGAATCGGACAGCAGCGACAAGTCTTGACGGACAAACAAGGGAATCAGGATCGTCGCGACGCTCTTGCTCGAAAGGAAGAGGAGCCGAAAATCCTGACTGCAGTTGCTGATCGTACTCACGCTTGCCCACCGACTGCCTTGCCAGGGGCATTCCCTGCCGATCCACAACCCGAAGATGGCACCAGGATGATACCATTGCAGTCGGAAGCACGAGATGAATGGCAGAGGCAGAAACAGGACGAAAGCCAGTCAAATGAAGCTCTGGACACCTTGATGGACATGATTGGACTCGAGAGTGTCAAGGAAAGCTTCCTTGGTATCAAGGCCAAGGTGGATGTGGTGGTTCGACAAGGTGCTAGTCTTGTGGCCGAGCGGTTTGGCGCAGCCCTTCTTGGAAATCCAGGTACCGGAAAAACAACCGTGGCACGACTGTATGCTCGGTTTCTGAGCATGGTTGGCGTCATCCCCGGTAGCTTCTTCGTTGAGACCTCGGGGTCCAAGCTAGCAAATGGTGGTGTCCAGGGTTGTCAGAAACACCTTGAAGAGATCAAGTCGAATGGGGGAGGGGCACTGTTCATCGATGAAGCCTATCAGCTAACATCTGGGAACAGTACCGGGGGAAGCTCGGTTCTGGACTTTCTGCTGGCAGAAGTCGAAATTCTGACCGGGAAGGTTGTGTTAATCACCGCCGGATATAACAAGAACATGGAAAGCTTTTTCGCTCATAATCCCGGTGTTCCAAGCAGGTTCCCAGTCGAACTTCAGTTCAAGGATTACCCAGACGAGGAGCTTCAAAGTATTCTCCAGCACCACATGCACAAGAAATACAATGGACGCATGAGGGTTGAAGAAGGCACCGGCGGGCTCTATATGCGGATTGTCGCCCGCCGTGTCGGCCGTGGGCGTGGCCGTGAAGGATTCGGAAATGCTCGAGCAGTGCACAACGTTTTTGCACGCATCACGGAGCGCCAGGCCAAACGACTACAACGGCAACGTCGACTCAAGAGACCTGCTGATGATCTGCTTCTGACGAAAGAAGATCTTCTTGGACCAGATCCGCGAACAGTGCTGAAAAAGAATGCTACGTGGGGCAAGCTTCGAGCCTTGACCGGTCTGCAAAGTGTCAAGCAGTCGGTAGAAGCGCTATTTGACACAGTCCAGTTCAACTATGCGCGTGAACTAGCAGAGAAACCCTTAGTGGAATTTTCCCTGAACAAAGTATTCGTAGGCAATCCCGGCACTGGCAAAACCACCGTCGCAAAGCTTTTTGGAAAGCTCTTGGCAGATATGGGATACCTGTCCAACGGAGAAGGTAATGATCACAATCCTCTTCTTTCCACCTGCCGGCCATTCACAGACAGTGTTCACTGACTTTGCTTACCGCAACAGTTGTTGTCAAGAATCCATCCGACTTCATCGGCAACGTCATTGGCGGCTCTGAGGCTGCGACAAAGGGCATCTTGGCTTCCACTCTAGGCAAAGTCCTTGTCGTCGACGAGGCTTACATGCTTGGTGGTAGTTCCTCGGGGTCTGAATCGATCGGAGGCCCAGATATCTACACGGTGGCTGTAATTGACACCCTAGTCGCGGAAGTGCAAAGCGTCCCCGGCGATGACCGGTGTGTTCTGCTTCTCGGATACAGGGACGCAATGGAGAGGATGGTTCAGACAGTGAACGAAGGACTCTCCCGACGCTTCCCTATGGGCACTGCGTTTGACTTCCAGGACTTCAGTGATGATGACCTTCAAGAGATCCTAGCTCTCAAATTGAAGCAAGCAGGCTTTCATGCCACCAAGGATGCAAAGCTGGTTGTTCGCCAATGTCTGGCTCGCGCCCGGAACCGACCCAACTTTGGTAATGCTGGGGAGGTGGACATCCTTCTAGACAAGGCCAAACTACGGCACCAGCAGCGGCTTTCTGCGCGGAAAACCAGTAACATTGACATCTTGGAGCCGCTCGACTTTGACCCCGATTATGATCGAGAGCAGAAAGACGTTACCGACTGCCGGAAGCCTTTTGAAGGAGTTGTGGGCTGCGAGCACCTGGTGGCGCAGCTCGAGGGCTATCAAAATGTGGTTCGGAACATGAAGCAATTGGGGTTGGATCCCCGACAGACGGTTCCATTCAACTTTCTGTTCCGTGGTTCTCCGGGTATGGGATAAGTTTTGCGTTCTGCGTCTGGCGCATGTGGCATTGCTGACAGAACTTCCAGGGTCCGGAAAGACGTCGACAGCGCGACGCATGGGTCAGACCTTCTACGATATGGGCATTCTGGCCACAACCGAGGTTATCGAGTCATCGGCCTCCGATCTTGTTGCACAGTATGTTGGACAAACTGGACCCAAGACTGAGCAGCGTCTCGAGAAGGGACTGGGCAGAGTTCTTTTCATCGATGAAGCGTACAGACTTGCTGACGGGACCTTCGGTAAAGAGGCCATGAATGAGCTGGTCGATCGTTTGACGAAAGAGAAGTTCCACAAGAAGATGATTGTTAAATTGGCCGGGTATGAGGGAGAGATCAATCGTCTCATGGCATCCAACCCTGGTCCGACCAGCCGGTTCTCAGAAACGGTCTCGTTCCAAAACCTTACTGCCTCTCAGTGCTGGGTACTCCTGCGGGATGGTCTGGGACAGCTCGATCGAGTCGATCTAAAGGCGGTTCATGACCCTGACGATCAATTCATGTGTCAGGTTTTGGACTCCTTTGAATATCTATCCACACTGCCTGGGTGGGGAAATGGTCGGGACGTCAAGACCATCTCTGACACAATTATTCGAAAGGTCTTCTCGTGCCCACAGGATGCGGGAGGCAAGGGACTAGCGCTTACCCAAGCGATGGTAATCGACGTTATGAAATCGACAATTGAGGAACGGCGGCTTCGAGCGACGGCCACTACCTCAAATCCTCAGACCAGAGATGGGTCCTTGACATCAAAGGTCGCACCGTTCTCAGCCCCCCCTTTCTCCAAATCGTCCGTCTCCGCTGTCAAGGACCAGGCTCGCTCTGCACCGCAACTGGTGACCCATCTGCGACTACTTCCGGCAACCTCTTGTTCAGACGAGGGTCGCGACCCGGGGGTCTCTGACGAGGTCTGGATGCAACTGCAAGCGGATCAAAAGCGCAGCGAGGAGCAGAGGAACCGTGATGCAGAAACTCTTCGTCGAGAGGAGAGTATCAAGACGCAGCTGAAGAGTAGTGCCACTGAGCCGGATGGTGACGAACGCTGTGAGTATGAGAAGCAGCTCCGAAGCCTGGCCCGAGAAAGAGTCGAGATTGAGGAGCGGAGGAAGCAGGAGGAGGCTGCTCAGCAGAAATTGCAAGAGATGGGTGTTTGCCCCGTGGGATTTAGGTGGATTAAACAAGCGACGGGTTATCGGTGTGCTGGTGGGAGTCACTTCGTGCCTTCTGCGCAGCTATTATAGGTATTACGCTATTTAATCGCATATATCCATCGGAAAATGTCATAACTCGCACAGCGACCACCATGTTATATGCCCAATACAGCTTTTAAAACTCTCCAATTGCTGCTTAGAAGTTGGACAGTACATAGAATGCTTTCATTTCCCCGCCGCATACCGGAAACACTAATATCATGGATCCCGAATCAGGCCAATCCATCTTCTCGCCCGTCAAATCAATTCGATGCACTAATCAAGATGCTCTTCACGGATAGATACTCATCTATGCCATGGCTGCTTCCCTCGCGCCCGTAGCCCGACTCCTTCACTCCTCCAAAGGGGCTTTCGCACGCACCCAGCCCTCCCAGGTTGACGCCGACCATGCCGACCTCTAGGCTCTCGGCCACTCGCCACATGCGCGAGATAGACTCGGTGAGAATGTAACTACCTAGACCCACGTCGCAGTCGTTGGCTCGTTCAATTACCTCTTCCTCGGTCATGAAGGGGTACAAGGCAACCACCGGCGCAAAGGTCTCTTCGCGGGTCACTTGCGCCTCCGGCGTGACATTGCTCAGGATGGTGGGCTGCATGAAGTAGCCCTTGAGATTATCGGGCTGACAGGGGGCACCGCCCAGCAGGACGGAGGCGCCCTTGGAGGTGGCATCTGTTCGAAAGACATCGATTAGCAGCTTCGACATTGTACGGATATGAATTGAACGAACCGTTGATGTGGCTAACAGCCTTGTCGACCGCGCGCTCGTGCGTCAAAGGGCCGATGGTCACCCCGTCGACCACGCCATTGCCGACTCGCAAGGTTTTGACGCGTTCCACCAAGGCGGCAGCAAAGCGATCGTAGATGCCCTCCTGGACAAAGACGCGGTTGGCTGTGATGCAGGTCTGCCCCGCATTCCGGAACTTGGCCAGCAAGAAGGCATCGACGGCGGTTTCTAGCTTAGCATCGTCAAAGACGATGAACGGGCTGTTGCCACCCAGCTCGAGAGACAGCTTCTTGAGATTGACACTGCACTTCTGCGCGAGCAGTTTACCCACGCGTGTCGACCCGGTAAAGCTGAGCTTGCGGACCAAGCGGTTCTCGCATAAGGCGGACCCCACCTCGTTGACGTTGTTGAGGGTGGTGAGCACATTGATTGAGCCGGCGGGGAGGCCCGCTTCCTGGGCGAGGACAGCGAGGGCGAGCGCACTCAGCGGCGTTTCGCCGGCGGGTTTCCAAACGGCCGTGCACCCAGCTGCTAGGGCGGCACCCACTTTGCGGGTGATCATCGCCAAGGGAAAGTTCCATGGGGCCAGGCAGGCGGCTACCCCCAGGGGCTCTTTGATCGTGATAATTCGTTGACTGGGGTTGGCAGGAGGGATGACTTCCCCGTACGCCCGTTCGGCTTCACCGGCAAACCAGTCCAGGAATGAGGACGCGTAGGCGACTTCCCCCTTAGCTTCGGCCAGGGGTTTTCCGTTCTCCAGGGTCAGGATGAGGGCGAGGTCATCTTGGTGCTCGAGGCAGAGCGTATACCATCTTCGTAGCCACTGGGCTCTTTGGCGGGCTGTGGTTTTCTTGAAGGTCTTGAACGCCTCGTAGGCGGCTTGTACGGCTTGATTGGTGTCTTCTGCGTTCATTTCCGGCAGGGTGGCTAGGAGGTCCAGCGTCGCCGGATTGCGGACCTCGAAGGTTGACCCGCTGGTGGAATCGACCCATTGATGAGCGATGAGCCCCTGTGTTTGGAAGAGATCCTTGCGCTTGAGGTCGGAGAGTGTACGGGGCATCTTTGATGGACGAGCAAGGGCACCTTTCTCGGGGGGTGGTGGAGCGGGGAAAGGCAGAGAGCAAAAATGTTGATTCACAATTCAATAAAAGATGGATTGTCTTGTATTGGTAGTAGTTATAACTTATAACCATATTGCAAGCAGCTGGTGAAGGGGGAATCCTCCAATCCCCAATCCCCAATTCCCCAATTCTCCAAATCCCGAAATCCCCAAATTCCGAAGTCCCGAAGTCCCGACATTCCCAATTTTCCATCGACCCCACTTGTCACCAGTCTGTGATGCCACGGCAGTTTCCTTGTCGCTCTCATATCTCCGAGCTTCGAGATCCGAATGACTATTGCAACAGAGGGACCAAAACCTGTCCTGGTTGCAAGACTCACAAGAGCTTTACATCCCCAGTGAACTTGGGATAACTCGCAGCTAGATGATAACGTCAATTAAGAACTTCGAAGCATAAAGGAGTAGGTACTGAGTGGAGCGAGCTTGATGGAGTCCTACTAGTGTGTACTTGAAGGAGTAATTCCTGGACTGGTGCACTTGAGCCCCGCACTCTGATGATCAATGATCATCTTTACACAATGTGCGGGGTAACAGCGCGGGTCAGCTCTCACATATAGGAACCAAGGCACATGAGATTACGCACGACACGCAACACGACTCCTCCTCGACCCCCAATTTATCATGTCGGCCATCCAAGCCCAGCTCGACCAAGGTGCCGTCCCCAATGCCATCTCGAATGTCTGCCCGCCGGGCACCAGGTTCCACCTCCTGGAAGTGGGCTGGCTGGAATGCGACAAGGGCTTCGTCGTCCGCGGCGGCAACACCAGCCTCAAGTCCACCGAGCACCGCTCCTTCGTGAACGAACGCTGCGAGATGCCCATGTACTGCGTCCTGATCGACCATCCCCAAGAAGGATTGATTCTTTGGGAAACCGGTAGTGGGAAGGACTACCCCGAGGTTTGGGGCCCGGTGGCGGTCGACATTTTCGCGCGCGTGCGCTACGAGCCCCGCCATGAGCTGCGCGCCGCCGTCGAGGCCACCGGCCATCGCATCGAGGATATCCGCAAGATCATTATCGGGCATCTCCACCTGGACCATGCCGGTGGGCTGGACGAGTTCTTCGATCGCAAGGACGTCGAGATCTGGGTGCATGAGAAGGAGCTGACCAGTGCATTCTGGTCGGTCGCGACCGGGGCGGATAGTGGGGTCTACTTGGAGCATTACCTGAAGTTATCTTTGTATGCGATTCCGCTCCCTAAATCCCTTGAGCGTACTGGGCTAATCGAGCTGGATAGGAATTGGAAGACGTTCAATGATCAGACGCTCGACTTCTGCCAGGGCATCACCCTCCACCATCTCCCCGGCCACACCGAGGGGCTGATCGGGATGCAGATCAACATGCTCCACACCGGCACTTTCTTCTTCATCAGTGATCATTGCCATGTAATCGAGAATGTATGTTATTCTCTCCTTCCCCGAGGCAAGCTAGCTAATCTGTTGTGATGGCTGCAGTGGCGCGATGGGATCCCTCAGGGCTGGCTGGCACGTGACCACCCCTCCTGGTTCCGGAGCACGCAACGCCTGAAGCATCTGCAGCGCATCACCAAGGGGCAGGTCATTCCCGGCCATGACAAGGGGATATTTTTGGACTTGCAGAAGCAGGCCGATGTGTTTATATGACGGGTGCATCGCAGGTCTCGTCTGCTGCAGGCTTGCGGCCGACTGCTGCATCATGGGCCCGGTCAACTTCATATATCTAATATGCTCATTTCGTGCGATTTCTCCGGTGCAGTAGGTCATGGGATACCCAATAGCTAGGGCTGGGACTAACTAAGTGATCAACTATGCAATTAAGCAGACCGGCAACTCATGCCGTTGACCACTGCGAGTCAGTATGGTGGGTCTCACGAGGGTTGGCCTCGTATCCCCGCCGCGATCGGGACAAGATACCCGATGGCCCGCCCGTGCACGGCCTCATGAACCAGGCTGCGCCACCATTGCTGTGCTGAACTATGGGGCTTAACTCCTCCAAGTGGCAATACTTCCAACTGTCTAGATAGGTCGTAGAACCTCACTGTAGCATCAAGGAAATTCTACCCGACGGCGACCGTATATAAAGAGCTAGATGCTATACGCTCTCTGGAAATCCCCATAACGTTACCGCTCAGATTCCACTCATCCCTCACAATGCCTCTCCACACCTGCCCTACCGACAAACCGCTTGACCTCAGTCTGTGGGACTATCTGACCAACACGGAGGGACTCGATGGCAGCCACGATGATCCGCGGTTCGAGATGGCCAAGCACCAGTTTGGCGACGCAGCCAAAAACTTCAAAATCCAGCATCATAGAGCGCGTATGTACTATCATGAAGCCAAGGGTGAGGGAATAGTTGAAGAGGAGATGTCCTTTGAGAGATGGAGTCAAGTCAATGTTCGCGGCCTCACGTAGTTCACGTTCTCGGTGAATCTGTCACTGACACAGTCGTCGCATCTAGATGCCCGCCCTGCAGATGGCTTTGCGCGAGTTCCAATACAAGAAGAACCAGCTCGTCCAGGCGGGGTTGATGATTTATGGACCGGGATACCATGAGCGCATGGAGCGCGGAGCTCACGAGTCAGCGACGAAAGCGGCAGCGGACGATGGGTTCTTTAGCTGAAGCGTTGATGAATGAGAAGGATAAGAATATTGATGGTTATTTCTGGCACAATTGATAATTTACAGGAACTTCCACTCCAGCCCTAACCTCTCTCCACTTCCCTATCCAAGGCTTCATCATGTACCTACCCAGCACGCGCTCAGCTTTCAATGGAAGAGTGACTACTGAGCCACCGTGTACTACGAACTCACCCCCCCATGCCGAAAGACAATCTTGTGCGCCTTTCGCGCTTCGAAGTCCCGGTACGCCTGTGGAGCCTCCTCGAGGGGCACGACGTGGCTACAGAGGAACTCCAACTTGGGGTACACCTTCTGAAAGATGGCCAGGGCTTCATCAAAGATGCTGCGCACGGGGCAGCGTCCGAACGCCATGGTGACGTTCTTGCCGTAGCACAGCTGCCCATTCAACGGTAGCATCTCGCTGTGCACCCCGGTGGAGTGGATTGTGCCCCATGGGCGGACCATGTCGAAGCACATCATGAAGGCGTCGGCGTGACCGACTACTTCAATGACCACGTCCGCGCCACGGCCGTCAGTGACGGAGCGGATCTTGGCGACCGGATCAGAGGAGAGAGGGAGAGGGATCGCCCCGAGGCGTTCTGCTTCGGCGAGGCGTTCGGGCACGGAATCGATCGCGTAGACTTTGGAAACCATGGTGAGTGCACTGACAATGGTGCAGAGGCCCACGGGGCCGCAGCCTACGATGGCCACGGTGTATTCGTCACGGTCGCGTTGGGTCAGATTGGCGAGGAATCGGGAGGCAGCGAAGTATCCCGTGGGGAAGATATCGGCCATGAGGACGAGCATATGGTCGGGGATGGTGGAGGGTTTGGGGACGAGAGTGGTGGAAGCCAAAGGCACTCGCACGTACTCGGCCTGGCCGCCATCGATCGTGTTGGCCGGGGCCGAGTTGCCGAACAAAAAGCCCTGGCTGCATCGACTGGCCTGTCCACGCACGCAGTAGTAACATTCCTGGCAGGTCGCGTAGAAGGGGACCACCACTTCATCGCCAACCTCGAAGTTGGCCACCTCCTTGCCTTTCTCTGCGATGGTGCCGACGAACTCGTGGCCGCAGATGAAATTGGTGGGGCATTTCAGGTGGCCGCGGTAGAAGTGCAGGTCAGAGCCCTGGATTATCGCAGATATGAGATATGATCAGAGATGATCAACACCAAGTGTGACTTGTGGAGAGGGAGAGGGGGGAGTAAGGTACGCATAAAGCCGAGGTAGACACCCTGAGGATCACATCCTTAGGGGTTTGTAGCTTGGGGGTGGGCCGCTCCTCAACGGCCACCTCATATGGACCGCGGAAGACCACGGCACGCATGGTGTGGGGAAGGTCCATTTGAGTGGTCATATTGCGTTGCGTGGGATGCGAACCTGTTATGGAGATAAGTTTCGATAGAAGAGGACCCGGGGAGAATCAGTATTGAACGATGGGGTGGATGGCTGGGTTATACGTCAAGGGTTATAATATAACAGAGTCAGTCTCAAATGCGGGGTAATTCTAGTTACACAGCTCGGTTCCTGGGGATGCGGTAATGCCTCTGGGCTCACACGCATGCACAACCAGTAGTGACTCGGGTTCGATGAAAATCCAAGAATCCATTCTAATACAAGACATGAGATGGAAGTAGCGATCGAGGTGTTACAAAGCCACCCCCCCACACCCCCCCACACCCCCTCCACACCCCCTCCTCACCCCTCCTCACCCCCTCCTCACTGTCACGTCACACCATACCCAAACAACATCCCGAACCTAAGCGGTTCGTTCCGAGGCATATTCCACCATGATATCCGTTCGGATAATTACTGCTTCACCCGCTGGGGGTTGTTCCGGTAGTGTGTCTTTGTCGACCGTCGACATGACGACGGTTCCCTTCACTTGAGTATGTGGGACGGTCTCCAGCTCCAGCGCTTGGCCGCGTGCGCCAGACTGATTGCCATACCAGGGGTATCCCAGATTCCGCGCCCCGGTCTTTGATACCAACGAAAACAGTAATCGGAAGACAGGTGCACACGGAGCAACCAAGAGGCAGGCGTTCTCGACTCTAGAGATGGGTAAAGTCAGCAAGGTCTCCCGTGGGGTGGTCAAACGCAAGAGGAATATCATATGCGCGACCTACTTCGCCAATAGAATGAACAGCACAATCGAATCTATTCGAGCAGGGTCAGTCTACCGAAGCACGCCTGGCGACGGATGATCTCACGAGCCATGTCATCAACGCTATTCATCGTATGGAGTAGCTGCACGACCGGCTGGTTAGCCACGAGCTTCGCCTAGCTGCGAGGAAGGCGCACGCTACTTACTGTCGTCTTGACCAGGGATGCAATCCCGGAGAGTAGCAGCGGACCGCTGATTGCCGCTGTCTGCCGCAAGCGCCGGTTGCGCGCCTCCCGAGGAAGCTTCTTGAAGCGCGAAATGAACGATTGACTGCGAACTTTCCGCGCCAGTGGGAAGCGCCAGAGCTGCACTCCGGCGAGAATGGCCAGGAAGAAATCGATCGCGGTGTTCAATCCTAGCTGCGGAGTTAGCAGACGCAATGCGAAAGAGGTGGGTGGAGACCTGCCCCCCTGGATCAATCCGGTGACCACTTGCGAAACAGGTTGCTGGCAAGCCACAGACCCATCAGTCGGGAGCGGATCCCACATGTAGTGGAAATACGCAAGTCGGTTGGCCTGAAAAAGTCGCGTCAGCGTGTCCCATTCTTGGGGTGGTGGCCGGATGACAGAGCTCTCCTACCGTGTGAGATGTGCGGGAACCGCACATCAAAAGAACCTGCAAATCCGTTGCCAGGTTGACAATGATTTGAACACCTATGCAGATCATAATCGCGACACGGAGGCGCATATCAGCCCCGTGGAAGCACCGCAGGAGGAAATACATTATTCCAATGCGGGCGAGCATCACAGCAATGACCTCTTAGTACCCGTGTCAATCGAACAATATGACTGCACGCAGGTTGAATATTGGGCAGGCACTCACCAAAGAGTTGGCCGATATACGCATATTTCAACGTGTCACTGATTTGGGGCTGAGACAAGGTCGATGCGGGGCGCCCAAGCCCTGCGTCAAAACTAGGATCGTTAGAGACATGTGCAGAGTTGCAGCGCTGGTAGAGTGGTATGAAAAGAACCTCTTTTGGTACAAAACCATCTGCGTGCAATCGAAGCTGAAACTGAGGAGGTAGAATAGGTCTTCGATGCCCCATAAGCGCTCCGGAGAGCTGACCTTGGGGATGGCCCAGCGGATCCAGGACTTGATGCTGTATCGGGCGACAAGGGTTAGGCCCGCTATCGTGCTCAATGCCTACAAGTTGGAATCAGACTGCTGTGCGTGTATGGAGTGCTGGCAAGGAAGGTGCAAACCCATGAAGCAGCGACGTAACACCCAGCTGCCGACCCATAGCAGTTAGATTCGAATTCTGCTCGTACGGCCCAAGAGAAAAATGACTCACCATTGCCGCTAACAGTATCTTCCCCGACGGGCATGACTTGTGATGAAGGCTGTCGCCGGAAATCCCGTAGAGCGGTTCTTTGCAGCTTCTGTGAGCAGGGGTGGTGGTAAGGGCCACGCAGTAAGCATTCATTCTCTTTATAAAGCAAGGGTTCCAAACTAAGAATGATCTAGGTGTTGAGAAAAACAAGGTGAAAGCTGTGGATGGTGGTGGTGGTGGTGATGAGAAAAGCAGAAGGATCAGAAATCAGGGGTCGATGGATTGAGTTTCTTTGTATGCAGCTGAAGGCTAATCTATCACCAATTGATCTCCTTTACCCAACACCCCAGCATTGGCCCCGGGGAAATCCATCCGTCTTCCCGTGGCGTTTTGGTCATCCAGGAGTCGACAGGTACGTTCCTTTTCTACGTGCCTTTGAATCTGATCGCTGGACCATTTCCCATTTCCTCCCGATCTTTTGCCATAGCAGGATAGGCCGCACGGAAGACCCCGATTTTGTCCAGATCAGCCAGCTAACGCCACTGGCGATTGGTTCTGGGGCTTTACCTCGGAAAGGCCATTACAAAGCATTTTTGTTGCTTAGGAGGAGATGCGCTTTGATGTTCAGGCTTGTCTGTGTACGTATCCAATAGCCCCAAGCAGAAAGAGATAGGAGTGGAAGTGATGAGTGCAGTCACAACTATCATCACCCGGCTTAGTCCATCAGGCGTCTCGTAGATGGTCTATCTGAATCAAAATGAAAATGAATGTCGGTCCGAATAACCACACTTCTCGCATGATGAATTCCCATACGCTCGGCTCCTGACAGTATCCGACCTTCCTGTTTATCTGTCATGGGCATAGCAAGAGCGACCGTATCCTGGTCATTTGTGTGGCGTACCAAGTTCAGTTCCAGCCCCTGGCTCGCTCCGCCAGATAGGATGCCAGAGCCAGGGTAATCCTTGCTCGGAGATCCATTATTAGAGACACTCGACACCAGAAGCCGGATAATAGGAGCGCAGGTCGCAAGCAGGATGCTATAATTCTCAATCCTGGGCATGAATTAGCGGATGCTTGTCACCTAACACTTGAGAATGCTGGAACCCTACTTCACCCACAGCACGAATGGCACTATGTTATCTACCAATGACGGCGGTCAGATCCAGATGGGGACTCAGAAAGTCTGAAAACAAGGCATCACTCACGGGCAATATCATTTCTCTCTCCGATAGCTTTGAGTAACTAGTAGATCTCGACGGCTCAGTCATCCTCATCCTGCTTGTTTAGGAAACGACGTACCCAAGTCTTAATGATCGACGCAATGCCCGACAACAGCAATGGACCGCCTAAGGCGCAGGTTTGCCACAACCGCCGGTTTCGCGACCTGCGAGGTATTTTCCGGAACCGCGAACAGAATGACTCACTGTGGGATGGTCCCCGATCCGTCGCTCGCATCGTATAGCGCCATAGCTGTATGGCAGAGAGCGCTGTCAAGAATAGGTCGATTCCGGAATTGAATCCTCCAGCAGCATCAGAACCTGAGACATTTTCATGTCCCGCAGGGGCAGCGGTGAGGTAGAGTTACCTCCTTGAACAAAGCCAACCATTGTCTGTACGCTCGGTGACTGGCAAATAACTGAACCGTCGGAAGGCAGGTCATCCCACATGTAATGGAAGTAGTGCACTCGATCGACCTGGAAGAGTTCACAAAGTCAATCAGCCAACGTTTCGATCGCAACATAAGTCAAGAGGGAGGGCCTGGAGATGTACAGGACGGTATGAACTTGGCCCACATTGAACGATGATTTGGACCACTGTAACCATGTTAATGATAATCTGATCACCCATATAAGCGAGGATAGAGATGCGGATCCGCCGGTCGGCGCCGTTGAAACAACTGTAGAGAAAGCACATCATCCCTGTGCGAGACAGCATCGAGGCCAAAACCGCTAGGAATCCATCAGCAGGGCAGTCCAACAATGTCGCGGACCGAGCCACGTAGTACCTAAAGGCTGAGAGATGAACTCGTTCTTCAGTGTGCCTCTGAGCTCATCACTAGTCAGGAACCACAAATGACGCCCGAGTCCGGCCTCATAACTACATACATCAGATGAATCGGGCATTACGGTCGCTTGGGCCAAAGGCAAACCTTCTTTGCACCAACACAATATGCGCAAGGTCAGAACTATAACCCGCGGTGTAGAACAGATCTTCGAACCCCCAGAGTCGGTCTGGAGAGCTGACACGGGGTAAAGCCCATCGGATCCAGGACTTGATGGCAAAACGGAACAACAATGCCAGCCCCTGCAGTCGTGGTCAAGGCCTAAAACCGAAGATCAGCATGAATGTCATTAGATTCATGTTCTGGTTGACCGGGGCGTCCGACCCATGAGGCATAAATGTACGGTGTGGCTGCAGCATGATGGTGGTTAGTCCTGTGTTGTGGCCATCGCAGCTAGAAAGATGGAACGTGAAGGAAAGACTGACCATAGTTGATATCAGTCTCATCCTCGGTGGCCATATTGTGCGAGAAAACGAGCGGCTGGGCATTGTCCAGATGGACTGGGCTTTTCACCAACGATCTGTCTTTTGAGATGATTCGTGTTTAGGCGCTCTTATATTGGGATCAATCAAGACAACGAGAGCCTAGGGCTTCTGGGATCGAAAAGTAACCAAGAGATCATAACTACCAGGCAGTTTGGTCAATCAGTTCTTTCTGTCCTATACACGGTACAGAAAAGTATTTTGGCTTTTTTTAGGGTCTCAATCTAAGGCGGGGCTTACTGATATTCACGCCGCACATTTAGGGCAGGTAGGGAGGTAGAATCCCGGGTCCACATTCATAATACCGGCCGACTCAGTGGATAACAATCTCGTTGATTTGCTTGTAAGAGTAATATAAGGAATAAAAGAGTAAGCACTACGGAGTAGTCAGGCCGTAGATATGAGGACTGTATCAAGCTAGAGTATCCTGTCCTCTGTGCTCCACCTATACAGACAGTACTTAAGGTCCGGGATGGCTGTTCTGGAGCTCCACCCAGCACAGAACTAGCCGCAATATCCCTCGGTGAGTAGTCGGAATCTATCCGGCGTAGATTAATAATTAAAGATGATGGCCCCATAGTCTTACATAGTACAGTATCTGTTCTACATCCTGGCAACTACATGCCTAGTGACTAGTTCAAAGCTTTCTCATCTTCACAAGCCCCTCCCCTCCCTCAGGGTAGGCCTCAAAGGTGACCCTGAGACCTGCCAACGCCGCCAGCTGGCGCCACTCGCTCGCACTTCTCTCTCGCCCCCCAAACAACGCAATCATACTGGCATGCATTTTCGCATTGTTGGCATTCTTAGTAAACTCATGGATCAGTAGGCGCGATTGTGGGTGCATGGCCTGCGAGAGCTTTTGCAGTAGGCGTGCCGCATCCAGGTCAGGCAGATTGTGCAAAATATATGCCAGGTGATAGACTCCTGCCCCCTGGATCGGCTGTTCACTGTCATTTTCCTTGTAGTTCCATGTGGAGAGCGTAAGGCCCGGGATTTCGCGGATTTCATGGTTGAACTCCTGGACCACCAGATCCTTGTCGCTCAATTCGGGAAAGGCCTGTTTGAAACTCTAGCATCATTTCCCCGCGGCCGCCACCAATGTCAACCATCGCGATGACGCGGCGAGACTTGGCGTCCTGGAGAACTGTGTCGAGGTGATATTTAAACCGCGCCAGACGCTCCGGAGCGGTGGCGGTCTTCATGAATTTGCCCATCATAAAGCGATTGAAGCTGTCCATTCGTCCTTCGGCTGCCATAATATCATAGGTATGCTGTTGCGCGAGCTCGTCATTGCCCATCTTTTGGTATACAAACTGCAATGGTGTATGGAGCTCCTCAAATGGATATTGACAGCCACCACTCTCCAGTCGGCGCATGAGAAATGCACCGGCCAAGAGAGCTTCCGTCGTGCTAGAACCCCGAGATTAATTTGGAGCCATCTGGGTTGAATTGCGGCAACTCACAAGTGCAATGCTCCGTGCTGAGCCGAAGGTATGTGCACTAAATGTCGGGTTATGTCGTTGGCGGAGTAAACGCAATCATCTGTCATGTCCACAAAGCCGAGTCCCGCCATAGCGTACAAGATATCGTCTATAATTCCTCCAGTGTTATTTCGTTTGCCATAGTGCAAGTAAAGGGCCCTTCCGGCCCAAGCTTACCGATCAACTGGAGACCTGAAACGGAAGATTAGATCAGCATTCGAACATGATAACTTATAGGAGGGACTTCAGATCACGTACACGGCATGCTTTTCCTATCACTGCCCACAGATTGTTCGTACGCCATGAGGACTTCTTTCCCGTGGGCAGGTTTCTCAATCTCGACCAAAAGGTCGAACAAGCCGAACTTGATAGCCACTGGCACGAACCCAAGCGCTGCAGCCTATCCCGCCTTGGTTAATACTTAGGTAGTCATCTCCACAGAGAAGGTTTGTTGTTTGTGTGCCGATTACTAACCGAAGTGACCGTCCTTGCCAATTGTACTCCGGGCATTAGAGCAGACATTGTGAAAGGTGGGATGGGGGTTGGCAGGGATTGTGGATAGCTAAGCAGAAAAAGATGTCATGTTCCGGCCAAAGAGGTCTAATATATAGGAATCCGCTGGCCTTCACTAGCTTCCAATAGTTACTTAGTGATCGAGTGTCATTAAAAAAAATGTGGGTGGAGATAACGGCCGCACAGCTTGTCTTGGCAAGGCTCTACTCCGGAGTAGATAGGGTCTAGATTGTGGGATATAAATATTTGTACACAACGGTAACACTAGTAAAGTATCAAGATACTGCACAGCTTCATTGGCTCTTTAATTAAGAGGAGATAAGTAGATCCCTGTCGAGCGCGGGACATGCATCAACTAGTAACTTAGCATTTTGTTCTGGGTTCGGTTCTAACTTTTGCCTTGCCTTCTCCCACCTATCCTTCTCTCAACTCTTCTCTCTTCTGCCCAAGCCATTCCCAGAAGCAGCTTCTTTGTAACGCAACTTCTTCCATAACGGAATTTGGAGTCAAGGAGTGTGCCGGTGCTCGCGCAACCGGTTATGATACCAAGGCCGAGCATATTCAAGTAGCTGAGACAACGGCTAGCGGTGGTTGTGACGGGAATGAGCAGCGCAACCCCAGGAACTGGCGCCCTTGGAAAAAGCGCCTCTTGTTCTTTGCCCTTATGTCCAGTTCCATCTTGGCTGATGGGTACGTCTTTCACCATTTTCTTCATTATAAGCGTAACAATAACAGATGAGATTGGCAGCGGTATGACTTGGGGGGCCACCCTGATTGTTTCCCAGGCCCTGGAATAGGATATCAGCGTCGATAAGTCAGCGACAACAATGAACTACGGCATGCTGTTGCAGGGGGTCGGTGGCTTGATGGCTAATCCTCTGATTGAAGCCTACGGACGGTGTGTTGTGATACTTGTCTGTGTGACATCATGGCAGTAATATTGATGCAGTCCAGGCTTCCAGTTTGGCTCTGGCCTTAATTTATTACCACCTTCATGGTTCTCGGAGCTACACTATCTAATAACTATAGCGTCTTCACCACGTTTCGCTCGCTTCAGGGCCTTTTCGGCACCGCGCCCCAGGTGGTTGGTCTGCCGATCATCCATGACATGTACCCCCCGGAAGATGCGGCGTCTGCTATATAAACTGAGTGCAAACCAAGCATACTGACTATTCAATATAGAGTGGTCACAGATGATTAATATCTGGTGGGTGCCCAGGCGATAACGTGCGTATCACTGCTAACCTTTTTCCAAATTTTCCCAGGGGAACAACATTCCTTGTTGGACCGTTTCTGGGGCCTGCGCTGGCCGGTTATATCGGGGCAGGCAGTAACTGGAAAGTTTCATTTGGGATTCTTACCGTCTTCTACGGCTTATCTACACTCCTTGTTTTTGTCTTCGGCCATGAAACTTATTATGTGCCTGGCCGCCAGTATCAGCGGAACAGTCGTCTCTTGTCAATGGTCGGCGTCAAAAACCACAATCTGCCTGCTGGGCCGACCTTGCTTTACTGGTGCAAGACCATGGTGATCTACATCTTCAAGCTTCCTTTGCTGCTGACTGGGATCGCGACTATGATCAACTTCTGCTGGCCAATCGGTATTACGGTCACCGTGTCCACCTTCGTGGCCGAGCCCCCATACTTGTTCAACACCGTCCAGTCGTCCTCGCTACAATAGGCTGCTATTCTGGGCGCGCTACTCGGTAAGACCACATCTCCACATCAAAAATAGCATCAGTTCTGACAGATTCCAGGCTGGGTCTACGGTTACTGGTTCAATGGCTGGGTTAGTCGGTCCAGTCCGACGACATACTACACGGAGAAGCGACTTCATGGGGTCTGGGCGGCCATCATTACCATAGCCTGTGGCCTGCTTACCTACGGCCTTACACTGAGCTATAGTAAGCATTGGATCGGGCTGGCCTTCGGATAGCTAATGGTAGTCGCCGGCATGGTGGCGAGTACGGTATAGATTGTTGCCTCTTCCCCCAGACATAGAGTCACTCCAATTCAAAGACCTTAGATCCATTACCGCCTATGAACTGGAGAAATATCCCGAGCAGTCTACGGTGGTCTCTGCCATTATCAATACTTGGCGCACCGCGAGTGGATTCTCGGTGGGCTATTTCCAGCCCGCCTGGATCCAACGCGATGGAATCGCTGCGGTCTTTGGCACACAAGCCGCCGTCGTGGTGGCTAACATAATTCTGACCATCACTCCGGTCATCGTTATGAGACGGCGAGAGATCGCACCCAAGGTAACATTGGCATAGTATAGAAGAATGTTGTTCAACATGATACTAGTAAAGTTCGACTGTAGCCAGATGGGCTGTCAGTATAACCCTAACTTCGAGAATATAAAGCCGCGTCTCGGAACGTAACTCTGTGAACCTCCACCTTGAATCACCCACCAACTTGCATAAGAATAAATTCTCCACAATTAAGAGTGTCAATAATCGCAGGTGTAGTACAGAACATAGACACAACTTGTTCTCCAAGCCCGCGAGATCCTCGAGGTGTTCGGGGACCGACTCGGGTGCCCGCCGAGCTCAGTAGAAGAAAAAGCCACAACCTTATCTTCTCCACGGTCGCATTTGCTCATCACAAAAGATATAAACTCGCAATAGGTTACAATACACCACTAGGTCCCCGACCGCCGGATCGCTTTGTGTAGTGATTTATCTGGCGATGACTCTACACCTTGTTCCCTTTGAGCATGCGGGCCAGCCAGTACAGGCACCCCCCGGCGGTAGACATGTGCTCAGCCAGGTACTCGCCACTGGTCTGGCTTTTGGAGGGACCCAGCACCGTAGACTCATTACTCGCGGGGTTTACGTTGACATTAGCAAAATCTGTCGACAGAACAACTGCAATTTAGTAAAACAATGGCGAGCTACAACACAGAAAAAACTAAAACCGAGGCATCTGGTCCGGGGAAGCCAGTATCCTACGGGAAAAACAAACCAGAACAAGTATAAAATTCGCAACGTTGCTACTGTTATCGGCGAAGAAGGCAAATAAGATACATAAATACGCGAAGCATTATACCCACCACCCAGCAGAGAATCCGCATCAGCACTGCTCTCTCCGTGCCCTGGCCGGCTGCGTTGGCAGGGGTCCGATATCACCCAAGTCATGGAGTTAGCGCATGCTTGAGGTTATCAGGGATCGAAAGAACCTGCTGAAGTAAACAGTGCTTCCCAACATAGCAGAAGGCTCACGGACGGCGGTCGTCTCCCGGTATAGATCTTGCTGTTGCGCATACCCCGTCTTGCGCTGAAAGCTTTTATCGCATAACTTCACATTGATTAGCATTTCACCAGTAAGCATACTTACCCCGGTGCGATTGTTAATCAAACAATCCAGCAAAGTTGTCTTACCCGCACCGGAAACGCCTAGTAGGGCTGTTAATATGCCCGGTTTCACCGAGCCATTGATATGATCCAGGACGAGCCGGGGCTTACCCGAGATCTTCATCTTATAGTAGGCGTCACTCTGTGAAACACACTTCTTAAGCCGTCAAGTACTGCTTCTCTACTAGGCTTGTTGTACTTGCTTGGCTGGTCATATGATATGGCCACCGGCGTGGTACCCATAGACCATCAGAAATTCGCACCCATAGACAATGGGGTTAAGGTAGTTAATTCTACAGCACCATAATCATATGTACCCAATGGAAACCACAAAGCCAAAAGCAAGCAAAAGGAGCATCAAGATTAAGGGCGGAGCAATGGCTTGTTGCTCTGTTCGGAATACTGCGCTGCTGAGATATTCCTAGTCCATACCGTACTACTGCGGGGTAGCCCGCATATATATTAATCTGTATAGTCCTGACGGCGGATTTATAATGAAGTCACTAGTTTAAATAACAGAGTTCTGGTGATTTTTGAAACAAACTAGCAGTATATAACACTGCCGATACATAACAGAAGTTATAGCATATTTGCTTTCCTATAATTAAGTGCTGAGTATAGAAGGTTATTATTCGAAGAATTAAAGTAAGATATTGAACAGAATAGCTATTAGTAGTACGACAGCTCGGCTATAGAATGATGCTGTTCTTTGGTCCAGATTATGAGACAAGGGGGATATTACCAGTGCTATGATTACATTCTTAATCATCATCCAGACGACAGAATTGTCGGCATCCTCGCGACATGCACACTCTGACCTGCTGGGAGTAACAGAGAAGATAGGCTGAGTTGAGACGCTGCCCCTTAGCCTGCCAAGTCTTCTTAAGTTGTCGTTAGGCAACAGCGTCCGAGCCTCCCATCGGGTGCTGGACCTTGTAAGACTCAATCTTCGTTTGCAATTCCCTGCATTCGTGTCTTCTCTTTCAAACAACGGCGTGTATAGATAGACAGACATGAACCGAGGTGTGGGTTTCCACAATATTGGTGTTGGGATGATGACACCAGATGCAGTCATCCCGGCGCATCGATTAAGATTTCCGACAGACATGAGCACGCTGAGTGAAGCATCAAGCGAGCCTGCTTGCATTCAATCGACAGGGCACAACGTGTGTGTGACCGGGGGAGATTGGAAGGTCTTGGTCCCAAAGTTTCAGTCTCTCAGCATCCCGGTTGCGATCCTGTGGTAGGAACCATAACATGGATACTCTCATATACATACACGTATGTACCTGCGTGTATACGGAGTGACCCACCATTACTACTTGAGTATTCTACACTATTTCAAGAATATTCCATGGCTATTCTTAAATAACGTGTGGAAGAGGACACTTGCAGTCCACATTCTAGTGACAATAAAACCTTGGCAATCCGGGCCTGCAGTTCGTCCCCATAAAAAACCCTGAGTGCCGGGGCGGGGAAAGGCTTAATCGAGACGTCCACCTGGCTTCGGGCCACGAAAATATCCAAGAGACAGCACGTCCAACCTGACGAACCTGATCTATATGCAGCGGAGAAATAGTGCTAAGTCAGCCGAGAACGCCGAGGCTTGTAACGGTCAGGTCTAACCCACCTACTCGGGCTACCAGTGAAGAACGGAAGAGAATCCCTCTAAGGACCCACGCAGCGACCGAACAGGGTCCGACAGGCACCACTGCAGCAATCAGCTCCGGAAGAGCACGGAAGGCCAGCTAGAGATATAAGCAACCATCATGAATGCAAGATTGTGAACGTTGTGTGGGGAGAGGGGAGGCCATATCGCCAACGCATCGCTTCTCCAGCCCACCAAGGGAGGATTCAACGATGGGCTCAACATTAACCGCAGCGGCGTTGACAACATCTGCCACAGCTGCGAGGAGAAGGATCCAGGTCTTCATTTTCCGTGAGCCTTGGTATATAGTATGAGGTAGAGTTGGGGAGAGGCAAAGTGTATAATGAGACGATTGCACGCACCTGGAATTTAAGAGCGATTTATTCCTGCGCAAAATTGCAGGAACGCGGGCGGAAGTTTGGCCTCCGGTGTAAGTCCACTACAACATCTACACACAAGATTTGAAGCACTGAAGTGGCTATCTCCGCCCGTTACAAAACAAATTTCGCCAGCCAGAGGGCAAATTTGCACCCGGCCAATCCCTAACCAACAACACCCGGCATAACCGCACACCAGCGGTGGGGCTCATTGCAGTGGACTCCCAATGCAATCCAAGTGGACGGTCCGATGCAGTTTACCTCGGTCAAACCGATGGGTCCCCGTTACGTTGCCTTGTGTTATCCTAAGCTCTATAAGCACTTGAAGTCACAGGATAAATTGGCAGGACCACAGGCGTTGAAACCCTGTGAATGAATGATCTTATCAGATAACAGAAAGACCCACTTCAGTCAAATTGCCAGCGCCTCAGAAGTTCCCCACCAAATGTCTTGGCGTGAGTGGAGATATATAGCAGGAGTGGTGAGTTCCCAACATGGATAGATCCCTCAATCTGAGTTCTACCGCACGAATTTGTTAGCACCCTGCAGGGATGTGACCACTGATTACCAAAGCTCAAGACCGCATGGGTAGTTCTTTCCAAAAGGGTGTGCATTGCACAATGCTGCTGATTCCGACACAATGAGATCAAATCAACTCATGTTTACAGCAAAGACTGGAAAAAAAGCAAATTTTGATGAAGTTTGTGGCATTTTCATATCTGCGCACTCATAGCCCAATCGAGCATCTTGGGTTGGGGGCCCCAGGGCACGAATTGTGGGCTTAAGGCCGATTGAATGATGTGATAGGAACGATTCTCATAGGGGGCGGTGTTCTAAAGTAATAGCCCAACATGCTAATACAACTAGATTGGGAATTGCTCAGATATACTCATTAATATCCAGCACTGTGTAGGTGGCACCAATGGACAGAAAGGCTCGGAAAGGGGCCTTTGAAGCAAACCCCTAAGCTTCTCCTCGCCCGGTGAAGTTTTCAAGACGGTTGAGTCGGAAGCATAACTAGGATGCTCCTACAGTACTGTCAAAATCCACCGCAGAAGTCAAGTCAGTAGAGACGGAAACCGGTCGGAAAACCAGTATTATTTTCGCCCCTGCTTACCCGATGATAGCCATCCCCAGATCATCGATTGCCAGACAGATTAAGTCAACCGCATGTTTCTGGATGGCCCAACGAGTAGGCCGGAACACGGAAAAGAAAAGTCATCGGATATGTCGAGTTATGCTTGACCTAGCGGCGTAAGAGGATTGGAATATCCACTTGGAGCAAGAATTTAGCTATAAGTTTATTCCCTTGGCACGTCCTTGAAGAAACTCAAAACCAGGCGAGATACTCGCCATTGCTCTATCGCCTCTCATGGCGGGCCGTAGCACGGAAAAGGTCCGTCATCTCTCGGATATGTAAGCCCCTTTCTTGGCCTGTGGTGCCAGGTCGTTGTGCTTGAACCTTACCTTCATAAATTGGTCCCTTGGCACGTTATCCAGAGATATTGGACCGAGAATCTGTCGAGACCTTCTCTTCGACCATGCAATAAAAGCAAAAAAGCGAGACGATGGAGTATTGACAACAAAGCAAATATTATAGCACAAAAGAGGACAGCCGAATCTCAATAGCGTGCGGGACCCAACATGGCCACCCAACATGGCCGGAGAAAGGAAAACCCAGTAGCGATAGTATATGGAGATAGGTAGACTGTCAATCTTGGAGGTTCCTGGCATATGGGATTTCATACTCCTGTCAAATCCAGCTGAAGCTTTGACTAGAGGGCCGTTGCTGCAAGAATATGCAATTTCGCCGACAAAGAACACAGGCCATTGGGAACGTATGACATCCATTCCTCGCACGTTACACCTAGGCAATAATATGGCGTTACTAGTGGCGAACCTTTCCAGAGGACAGTAAACATACCAATTTCCTTCGGCTTCAGCCAACGGATAAGCAAAACGAGCAGTTAGTGTTCATATGATGCGGGGATTCACTTAGACCTCTCGTTCCGGTCTTGGCAGAGAGTGGTATCTCGTCGCAATTAGTGGGGCGAATCGCTTGGCAACAGATTCCCCATGGGGTACACGCCAGGTGTCTGCCTCCCCGCTTGGTGGTTAGTTGGCTATTCATATAAATCAGGCCCCAAGGCTGAGCCATGGACCTGTTTTTGGACACCCCGAGCAATCTGAATATAAACTCAAGTCGTTGAATCCCACCTATACGACCGTCATGGATACTGCTGTGAGGAAGAGCGATGGCTTCATGGAGCATGTGGAAGAGGCAGAGAAAGGCAGCCAGTCGACCCCACAGTATGATCAGTTTGGATCCACTGCGAAGGTGGACCCGAAGGAGATCAGGCTCGTACGAAAACTTGATGCTTACATGATGGTAAGTCTTATCTACCTCCTCGAAGCCCTCGATGATGATAGTCCTATGCTGACAAGAAGAAGCCAATCCTGTGGGTCATGTACTTTCTCAACTTTCTCGATCGCAACGCCATGGTAAATGGAAAGCTCAACAGTCTTTCCCAAGACCTCAACTTGCATGGAACGCAATATAATACTTGCGTTAGCATCCTTTTCGTCGGGTATCCGCTGCCGTGGCATTCTCCGCTATTCTTAAGCTAATTGATGCGTAGGTACCTCTTGGGTCAGGTCCCTTCAAACATGCTCCTCAACCGTGTGAAGCCCGCGAGATACATGTCCGGGTTTATGATGGCCTGGGCCATTGTGTCCACGTTAACCTGTCTCGTGAAGAACTACCATGGGATGCTGGTCTGTCGCCTGATTCTCGGGATCGTTGAGGCCCCGTTCTATCCCGGGGCTCTATTTATGATCTCCCTCTTCTACAACCGAAAAGAAGCAACGACGCGCATGGCAGTGCTCTACACCGGCAACATGTTGGCGAGTGCTTTCTCAGGGCTGATATCAGCAGGAGTGTTTGCCGGCCTAGACAAAAAGCATGGCCTCGCCGGATGGCAGTGGCTCTTTCTAATCCAAGGCGTGGTGACCATAGGAGTGGCCGTTCTAGCATGGTTCATTCTCCCCAACTCCCCACTCCAAACACCGTGGCTGACGCCGGAGGACCGGCAACTGGCG